CCCAAATGAGAGTTACTCTTTATAAAAACAAACAAAAACCCGAAACCAACCTATTCTTCAGATAAACGAGAACACACACAGTCCCTGACATTTGAGTGTTTTCTTTTCTTTTCTTTTCTTTTTTCGAGATGGGAGTCTTGCTGTGTCGCCCAGACTGGAATGCAATGGTGTGATCTTGGCTCACTGCAACCTCCACCTCTTGGGTTCAAGCAATTCTCCCACCTCTGCCCCCCAAGTAGTTGGGACTACAGGCACCTGCCACCGGGCCCAGCTGATTTTTGTATTTTTGTAGAGATGGGGTTTCGCTATGTTAGCCAGGCTGGTCTTTAACTCCTGACCTCAGGTGATCCTCCCACCTCAGCCTCCCAAAGTGTTGGGATTACAGGCGTGAGCCACCACGCCTGGCCTTGGTGTACTTTTCTCATTCCTTGTTCTCTGGGCGACTACACCTCCCCTAAAGGGATTTCCTCTAGTCCACTACTGCAGGTGATCTTGTTTTTTGTTCTCAGTAGCACTGTTCATGCCTTTGTTTCATGGCTTTCCCAGGGGAAGGACTCTCTTGTTTATCTTTGCATCTGCTCCTGCTGCGGTCATTAGCAGAGCACTGTGACCTGCCATCTGGCAGATGCTTAATAGCAATTTATCACTAAATGATAGCTATTGATTCATCTCCCCCACTAGACTGCAGTGATTAGTGACGATTTGCACATAGCAGGTGCTCAACAAACTTTTACTAAATTGAACTAACATGAAAGCAAAAGCCATCTTTCGTTTTCTAACTATGGTCTGCCTAAATGATTTGTCCTGCAGAGTGGAATCAAGAAAGCTTGGCAAGGTTAAAGCAGAGTGCAGAGGAGAGGTGCTGGCTGAGTCAGGAGACCCTAGTTGTGACCACTTTTCCTTTGACCTTACCCCCATGGATGCCCTCATTTCCTTTCAGGATGTTGGAATGGTTTCCTGGCTATAAAAACACTTTGGGGAGAGTTTACAGCATTTTACAGACACAAGGTGTTATTATTTCCTTCACAATTTCCAATAGCAAAAAAACATAATGAGCATTTAGTAAATGTTGACTAGCAGTGTTAAATACTGTTTACTCCCCAAATAAGTGAGCTGTAATACTTGTGTAATGCTTTCTCACAGGTATGAATTAGGAGCCGCTCTGTTCATTGGATGGGCAGGAGCCTCACTGTGCATAATTGGTGGTATCATATTTTGCTTTTCAATATCTGACAACAACAAAACACCCAGGTATGAAAAAGAGACAAAAATGACCTGTTAAAAAGTAGAATGCTATTCTAAATCATTACATGTGGGACAAATTACAGATAGTTCATGTGATTCTTAGAAACTTCCAAAACCCAGGATTGGAAGATTGGCAGGACAGTTCATTTTTTAAAGTTTTACCATTATTATATTCCAAAGCAAATTCTGTCAGTAGAAATAAGGGTCTGAATATGAGGACATGTTCTTCCCTTCGGCCTTATCAACATAGTTTTCCTCTAGGTAGGAAGGAATGTTGATGGCCTCTGCTAAGCCTCCTAGGTTCCAGGAAGATGAGTTTTAACACATGGTTTTGAAAGACAGTAACTGAACAAATGGCCAAGTCGTGAGTTTCTTCTGCAGAGATTCTCCATCCTACCGGTTATTCAGAAATGATACTGAAAATACTTCTTGGGGCAAGAAGAGAGAAGAAAGCTATCTGAGAAAAAGGAAGACTTACATTTAGATATGGAAGAGGAAGACTTATATTTAGATATTGCCAGAGACGGGGTGAAACAGTTTCTTCCCATTTTTGTTTGCCCTATGTGTAGAATCGAATCTACCAAACTATGTTTTACCTTTCAGATATGCATACAATGGGGCCACATCTGTCATGTCTTCTCGGACAAAGTATCATGGTGGAGAAGATTTTAAAACCACAAACCCTTCAAAACAGTTTGATAAAAATGCGTATGTCTAAAAGAGCTCGCTGGCAAGCTGCATCTTGAGTTTGTTATAAAAGCAAACTGTTCACAAAATGATCCCATCAAAGCCCTCCCATAATTAACACTCAAACTATTTTTAAAACATGCATTTGAAGCATTTGTTGATTGTATGGATGTAAATGTTCTTACACGGTTATATACTAATCATTTTCTGTTGTGGCTTTCTATAAAAAATAAAAAGGTTATTTACAAGATTTGTAAAATGTTTTCTACGTTTATATAGAACATGAAAAGCATTTAGTACCAAAGGTTCAAGAAGTATTCGTACTCTAGCCTTTTTAATCATTCATAGATAGAAGTCTTTGTATCCACTCCTTATGTTTCTTTTCATTCACAGATTAAACAAGTATATAAGGAACAATGTCTTGCAAGCAGGGGACAATCCGAAAATATTCCTCAAAAGGTGTCCAGGTTAAATGGTCATGTTACTTGCTGCATACAGGCAAATTCTAGTTTCTTACATGTGTCTGTCATGATTGTAATTCATTATGACTGCTCTAAGAAGGGCTAATGGAACCATTATTGCCCATCATATGGCACATCCACCTTAAGGGGCTGAGGCGTCCATGGCACAGCCTGCAGAGCCCTAAGCTAGGGCATCAACAGGAGCTGAGATAGAGATATTGGTCGTGGTTAATTGTGGAGCCAATTAAAACCCATTTATGCCTAGTGTTCCATTATTGGAACACTAAGCATGTGGGAGTTATTTATATCCTACTGCTAAAGGTCATTGCCAAGGTATGATTGGAAAAATTTTAAAAATTGGCCAGGTGCTTTGGCTTATGCTTGTAATCGCAGCACTTTGAGACACTGAGGCGGGTGGATCATGAGGTCAAGAGATCGAGACCATCCTGGCCAACATGGTGAAACCCCGTCTCTATTAAAAATACAAAAATTAGCCGAGCATGTTGGCATGCACCTGTAATCCCAGCTGCTCAGGAGGCTAAGGCAAGAACATCGCTTGAACCTGGGAGGTGGAGGTTGCAGTGAGCCAATATTGTGCCACTGTACTCCAGTCTGGCAACAGAGCGAGACTTTGTCTAAAAAAAAATATATATATATATAAACATTGCAACCTCAAAAAAAATTTTTTTTTTAAAACATTGCAACCTCAGGCATAAATGGGTTAAGGACACCCCAAGCCCACAAGGCATGTGCCTCAGAACTGAGTTCTAGTGTGTCGTCCAGAACCTTACAGAACTAACTGGGTATAATTGAGAGACTTGTCACTTCTAAAGACATTTAAGTTGCTCCAGGGATTTCTGAGCAAAGACACAGGTTTCTTCCTAGAGCCAGCCCTATATAACATGCCCACAAGGGCAGCAGTTATCACCGTTAATACACGCCTTTCATGTCTTGTTCTCACTCACTCTTCACAGGCATCCTAGGAGATACATGCATCTTCATCCCGCATTTACAGAGAAGGGAGTGAAAGCAGAGCGCTTAAGTAACTTGCCACAGTAATGTCAGAAATAGGCCTTTGAACTGAGGCAGACTAGGGTAAAATACAGTTTCGAAGTATGAATAAGGACTGATATCTGTGTTTCTTTGAGTAAGGAACTGTCTGATATGAATCAGAACATGAGTAAACGTATTTTTCTGAAGTGTGAAAGACTTACAAGGAAAATCACATTGTTTAGAGATGCTCAGTGGAAAGAAAAGGAAATGAACAAGTGTGTTAAAAAAATGTTAAATTCTAAACCTTGATAATCCTTTAAAATGTCTTTTGGAGAAATACAAATTAAAAAGGTTCTACAGGCTAGTATGGGATAGGGTTGTGTGGGTGTGCATTTCAAACAAATTTCTTATTCAAAATTGAGCTGGCGAAGATAATGCTTAGATTATACTAAAGAATTTAGGGATGATGGGGGATGAAGGTCTGATAATAACCAGAAACACATTAGCCTGGGCATCAGTAAGGGGCAACGTAAAGGAATAGTTCTCCTGAAAAGTGAACAAACCAAATTTTATACAAATATCAAGATACAGCCAGGCACGGTGGCTCACACCTGTAATTCCAGCACTTTGGGAGGCCAAGGCAGGTGGATCATTTGAGATGGGAGGTTCGTGACCAGCCTGGCCAACATAGTGAAAGCCCATCTCTACTAAAAATATAAAAAATTAGCCAGGCATGGTGGTGCATGCCTATAATCCCAGCTACTTGGGAGGCTGAGGAAGGAGAATCACTTGAACCTGGGAGGCAGAGGTTGCAGTGAGCCAAGATTGCACCACCGCACTCCAGCCTGGGCAACAGAGTGAGACTCTTGTCTCAAAAAAAAAAAAAAAAAAAAAAAAAGATACAACTAACCAGGAAGTTAAAGGAGGGGCTTTTAAGACACAGATGTAGTAACTTAATTTAAATACTGGATTTACTCAGCAAAAGTTCATTTCCCCAAGCCCTTCTGCTCAGGAATGAAGACATGGCAGACCTAAAACATGGAATTGAGACCTGGCTTAATGCCTGCCCTTGTCACTTTGTACTTGTATGGCTTCTGGGAAGTTATTTAATAACTCTCAGTTTCTCATGTCTTTAGGATGATGATTATAACAATAACTATATTGCAAAGTTGTAATTAAATGAATTAGTGAATGTTCAAAACCAAACCAGACCAAGTGGTTCAATAAATATCTGTTGAATAAATAACTGAGTGAACAAAGTGACACACGGGCCATCTTGGGTATGATGTGTTTTTGTAGATTGCCGTTCTCTGTCCTACTACATGAAACTTTGACTCAGCCTTCACTAACGCTTCTAGAAACATAAATATAAATTGAGTATATCTGCATGAAATGGCCTCTGTAGGAAGTCAGAAGGATTTTTTTAGAGGGCAGGAATGGGCTACAAGTAGATAGGGCCCCAGGGTGGGTGGAAACAAAAAAAGATTTGTTCTAACCATTAGGACAGCATGTCATATGGCATAGCTATCAAGGCCATACTCTCCCTCTGTAAGACCCCTACTAAGTATAAATTTAACTCAGATTTCATCTCTAATAACACAGCCACAGTCACGATGATGTAACGGAAGGCTTTACTGAAAAGGTTGACAAATGAAAAGCGATCTAAAACCCAACAGATCTTTTTGTTAAAAGGTTACTTTTTCTTGGAAAGAGAATATAGTACCACCAAGTTATAGAAATGCAAAAAACAGTTTATATGATCTCTGATTTTTGGCAATGTCATTGTCTAAGAATATAACTAGATTACTTTTGAGATATTTTATAATACATGTTGGGTATTTTAAAAAGTAAAAAAAAATGAGTTCAGTAATGACTCAAATATTTTCTATTTAGTCTGATAAATTGGCACTTAAAATAACTACACTTTATTCAAAAAATATCCAAGATAAAGAATATGCTATATAAAACAACCATTTAATAGTAACATGCTTACAGTAGCTCAAAGCTAAATGTGATAAATGTACTTCAGGAAAATGTATTTAATACGGGCCTAGCTATATTCTAATTCTAAACTTACTTTTTTGGGGGGTGGGAGGGTGGAGTTTTGCTATATTGCCCACGCTGGTCTTGAACTCCTGGGCTCAAGCGATCCTCTCACCTCAGCCTCCCCAGTCGCTGGGATTAAAGGTGAATGCCATCATGCCTGGATTAAGCTTACTTCTATATGAAAAATAACTAGATGAACTTTTAGTGATTAGTGGTTCCACTAATTCAATTTTAAGACTACTACCAGAATTTTATAATATAAACACCTGCAATGTGACAGCATACATAATAAAAATATTTTTTTAAAGTTTCAGTAATTCAAACCAAAACCTGCTGTAAGCTTAAAAAAAAAAAAATCACTTAAAAAACAGTTGGAAAAAAATACACTTAACACTAGAGTACCATTCTAAAGAAAAAACTTTTTATGACTTCAATGACATGTTATTTTTAAGCAGCAGAAGTCTTAAACACCTGTATGCGCTTCAGAACACTGTTAAGGATCCGATTTTCAATACTGTATCAGGTGACATTAAAGAGACGGTTGTTCTTTGCATCAGACCCTGTGTTGCTGTGGGGGACATGGCAGGGCGGAAGCACTGGAGTCATGGAGGCAAGTTACTGAAACACTGTCATACTGAAATACTGCTGGCTTCTGACATGCGGAATTAGACATCTGAAGTGTCGCTCCAATCAGTCACGGTTACTAAGCTGCTTTTTAATGTGCTGGATTCATTATCTTGAAGTCCTGTAAGTGGTGGGGACAGGCAGGAGAAGAAAGAGAAGGCCTCAACCGTTAAACAAGCACATTGTGAAGTCCGTACAAATGTGTAATTTCATATTGTCAGTCACTCAGTGTCTAAATCTGTTCATGAATCCTCATCTCCCACCCCCCATGAGCTTGTATGAGGCCACTCTAAAATCCAAGCCTGAATTAGTCGCATCTCTAGGGTACATTCACAGGGCCCTTGGATGCAAGCTTCCACCCTGCAGCCTACAGTGCAGCAGGGGCCACGTCCTGCTTCCCACTCCTTCCCCGGCATTCAGCTCAGGGCCTGGGTGTCGAAGGTGCTCAGTACATTTGTGTTGTAGTAGTGACTCTGAGTGAATAGATGGTAAAGAAAGAAGGATGAAATTAACAAGCCAAGTAGAGATTAGGGGTTAAAAACAGATTTTCTAATGAATCTGACTTCATTTAACAATGAAGTCAATTTTAATGCCATGATTCTGAGCCACTGAAATACAGTGTAGAGAATTCTACCCAAATTTGACTCTAGAAATATGTCCCTCCAGGGGCACAGGTTTATAATGTTGGAGGAAAGAGACAGGAGATGTCCTTAGGGTAGCCTCTTGGCCATATAAAAAGTCACTGTAATGCAAACAGGGTCTCCTGCTTTTCAATAATTCGAGTTGACTCTTAGCACAGATAACCAATGCAAATTATGCAACAGCTATGTTATCACTGGACAATGTGAGAGCAAAGGTAGTGAGAAGGACAGAGGCAGCAACAGCTTATCTTACAAAGGGGTGAGGCTGCTGAAAATGGAAACAGCAAGGGTGGAGATGTGCAGGTATTAATTTAGAATTACAGGCTGGGTGCAGTTGCTCACACCTGTAATCCCAACAGTTTGGGAGGCTGGGGTGGGAGGATAATTTGAGCCCAGGAGTTTGAGATCAGCCTGGGCAAGCTAGTGAGACCCCATCTTTTAAAAAAAAAGTTAATAAAATTATAAGTAGGAATACAAAAACAGTGAAGAAGGCATGAGAGGTGTAGTGGGTGGTAAAAAATGAGCCAAGTCCCCATCTGTCTCTGCAGGCCATCAACAGGTAATATCTAAAGTCAATGAATCAAGAAAGAGTGGTTAAAGGCTATTACAGAGAGGCCCAGAGGTACCACCACTGAAGGTAGTGAGATGGCATAGAGAAGCCTTCTGAACAACTCAGCTTTCAGTGTGTGCAAGAATTACTTTGACAAAAATACTACACATTTCTAATTTTAAAAAGTCTTGAGTTACTGGGCTTATCTAGGCTCTAAATTGGGGGATATGAAAATCATTTCAAGTCATCTCATGTCATAGTATTTCATCCCACTGACTACAATGCTATTAAGAAAAACCTCCCTTGGAAGAAAATAAAGAAAAATATTTAATAGGGAAACAGATTAATACAGAAACATTGCCAGAAGAATGGTCTCATTCAAGTATATGACCAGAAAGTTTAACTCCTAAAAGGCATCTTCATGAAGAGGATATGTGTATGGACATTTTCAAAAATAATATAAAAGCCAGGCATGGTGGTGTACTTCTGTAGCCTCAGCTACTCAAGAGGCTGAGGCACAAGGATTGCTTGGGCCCAGGGGTTTGAATCTAGCCTGGGTAACATAGTAAGACCCCCATATCATAAAAAAAAAAAAGAATACAAACAATCTGGGGGATAAGAGTGGTAGCCCATGCCTGTAATCCCAGTACTCTGGAAGGCCGAAATGGGAGGACTGCTTAAGTCCAGGAGTTTAAGCCAGGGCATCCTAGTGAGACCCTGTCTCTACAAAAATCAAAATTAAAAAATTGGCTGAGCATGATAGCATGTGCATGTAGTTCCAGCTATTCCGGAGGCTGAGGTGGGAGGGCTGCTTGAGCCTAGAAGGTTAAGGCTGCAGTGAGCCATGACTGCACCACTGTACTCCAGCCTGGGTGACAGTAAGACCCTGTTTCAAAATAAAATAAAAATAATTTTTTTTAAATTTAAAGACTAAAGATTAGGCCTACAATTAAATAAGTAAATATATACGAATCAGTAAGTTATACATATCCAGTCCTTACTTAAATAACAAAGAACGCATTGACAGCTTTCCTTTTTGTCTGGTATACTAGCATAAGTTAATTAGGTATTTATAAAGATGAAGCACAACTAATAAGAAAATGGGCTGAGCTTGTGTTAGAGGGGAAAGCAGCGAACCTTCTCCCTTTGGCCCCTTAGGATTAAATGCGCCCCAGGCGTTTAGCACATGAGGAAAATGTGGTTCATTTTTCACAGGTGGAAGTTCCTTCTGTTCTTTCCCAGATTTTTTCCCCAAAGATATCTCTTCCTCTAGGGATGATATGTCCCAGTCTTCATCCTCCACATCTGCACACTAAAAGAAAGGCATGGAGAATAATTAATGTTTCTCTAAAAAATGGTGCCCCTCAATCATTTTGTTGGTTAGACTGAGCAGCTAACACTGAACCATAAGAATTGGGGAATGGTTAGTATTTCCAAATCTAATCATTTCTGCAGGGCAATGAAATGGATTTGGAAGTTGGTATTTTGAAATCTGAATCATCTCTTTTTCATTTCTGCCATGGAAATATGTGTTTCCTACTTTACTAATCATGAACGTAGAAAATTCCAGAAATACACTGTAGGGGTATGAAACTCTAAAAGTCAGGGTGCTCTGAAGTAGGAGTGAGGCCTGCTCTCAGTTTTTACCTGTGATAATAATGACATCTAACTGTGGGCGCATCACACCAAGGCCTGCAGAAATAGCCTCCAATCGAAAGGAGCACATAGTTCTACCATACCCTTCCTAAAGAAAGATGCATTGGCTCTCTTGAATGACACAGGACTTTCTGTCGTTTTTGGCTTGGGTAACGCACCCAGTATTAACTAATAAAAGTAATTTGACAAAATGCCTTGGACTGGAAGACCAGTCAACACACGTGAACTGTGCCCAGAAATACAATGGGAGAGCTCCATCCACAGAAACACTTCTGGCCTCCTGGCTGTTAGAACGGCTGGGAAAATGTTTGGACTTCTCTAATGCAGACAGAGGAGCGTGGCCTCAGCTCTCACTTCAGCTCCCAAATGGGACTAAACCCTAAAAAGTTTCTAAGACCTCATGCTAGGGTAGTGGAGAAGATCTGAAGGCCCCCGAGATTCTGGCCAGTCACAAGTTTCTTTGTAGAAACCATTTGATATCTGCAAAGTATCAAATAATATGTGTGACAAGATCTTGAAAACCTGGAAAGTGTGATGCTTATTATATATTATTACCATTATCTTTGGCTCCAATATCTTTGACTCTCTATGGAATGGAAAGAAATGCAATACTGAGAACAAGAAAGATGAAAATCTCAACCTCTGCTGTATCAGCTAAATATCTGTTTTATATTTCACTGCAAAAAGGGTGATCATTAAGGTGTTATTTGTAAAAAAGACAAATTTATGTATATCTAGCAAGTAAAAGTGATTTCACCTTTAGTTCTTGTAATTCTTCTTTTTTGATAAACATCTCAGGAATATTAATTCCACCAACTGGTTTATTCACATTTTTGCGATGTGAAAACATCTTTTCAACTTTTTCAGTTGGTGTTTTAATGGAGGCTCCTATAAGATCAATAGAAATTAGTCAAGTGAAATATTTAAAAATTTCATCTATCTTCAGTTCCAAAATAACCTTATAGAAAACTTTGAAAGAGTCTAAGCTTTGCAAATAATTATGTATTATTAAAATAAAATCAGTTGATGTACTTTGGGGTTAAAAAATTAAAGACAATCCTTTAAAAAATCATAATCCTTGAGACTATGAGCTATAAAGTTTTCATTTTATTTAATTAAAAAAAATAGAGACACAGTCTTGCTATGTTGCCTAGGCTGGTCTTAGTGGGCTCAAGCAATCCTCCTGCCTCGGCCTCTCAAAATGCTGGGATTACAGGTTAGAGTGACTGTGCCTGGCCTAAAGTTATCGTTTTCAATCAAAGAAAGATCATCTCTTTCAAGGGTGGTCAGAAATTAATTCCAGTGAGATAACGTGCATGAGTGGAATATTCATATGGGTATTTTCAAAAACAATATGAATTCTTTTTAAATGAATTAGTTATATTTTATCTATCTAAATACATGATATATATACATTATACACAATAAATTATATCTAACAATATATTAAACATAATAAATTACATTTATTATGTTTAAAATGCATAATTTAAAAATTGCATTAAGCAGAATTAAAAAAAAATAATTACCCATCAGTTCTACTTCTCTTCAGTAAATATCTGCAGTGACAAACTAAGATCCTATCTTCCTTTAGTATTCCAGCTCCAAGAGGCAGCACAGTGTATTAGACCAGCCATTCTAATAGTCATCATCCAGTGTCCTGGTTGAATTGTGCCCCTCTAAATTCATATGTTGAAGTCCTAACCCCCATACCTAAGAATGTGACCTTATTTGGAGGCAGGGTCTTTGCAAAGGAGATCAAGGTAAAGTGAGGTCATCAGGGTGGGCCCTAATCCAATGTCCTTACACAAACGGGACATATGGACACAGATGCACTCAGAGGCAAGAAGATGTGAGGATGCACAGGGAGAAGGCAAGCCAAGGAGAGAGACGTGGAACAGACCCTCCCTTGTAGCCCTCACAGGACCCAACCCTGCCAACACCTTGATCTTGTACTTCCAGCCTCCAGAACTGTGAGGCAATAAGGTTCTGTTCCTTATGCCACCCAGTTTATGGTACTATTACAGCAGCCCTAGCAAACTAATATACCAGGTCTCATCCCCAACTCCTTCCTCTCCTTCAACTGGAATGCCGGTCGGCTGCGAGACCCTGCCCATTTTCTGTGGGTGCCTTTGGGATCCACTGCATCCATTCCTCGCACAGCCTTCCAGCTCAGACTCCCAATGCTCAGTGCACCGGGTGAGGACCACTGTCCTAGATAAAGTTTCCAGAGAGTTTTCCAAGGTAACAGCTCACCTGCGGGCTTGAGAGAATCATCAGTGTCCTCGATTTCGCTTCCCTCGGTCCCGTCCGCGTCACTTTTGACTGCGTTCTTCCTGCAGCTGCCCTTGCTTTGCGATGGCGGCACAGGAAGTGGGCCTGGGGATGCATATGGCGGCACAGGAAGTGGGCCTGGGGATGCGTATGGCGGCACAGGAAGTGGGCCTGGGGATGCGTATGGCGGCACAGGAAGTGGCCCTGGGGATGCGTATGCCCGGATGAGGTCGTCGTCCTCCTGCTCCTCCTCTGAACTAAAGGGAGGGGTGCTACACAAATCAACAAACACCGAGACAAAGGCGCTGTTTCCTTAACGTGTTAGGATTTATGATATTAAGAGAGATGCCTCTTAAAGTGGTGACAACTTTCTCAGGTAATACCCGGTGAACACAAGTGCCTCTGTGGCCATGGCCAAGATGGCTGCCAGGCCAGACGTTACACCCATGGCCGAGGTGTCCTCCCACGCCCGGATCTCTGCCAGCCACGGGGCATGTTTATCAAAATGGGCTGAAGCTGGGGCCTGTCTCCTCTAAACCCAAACGTGTATATTCTTCATAATTTTGGTTTTCACACACCTAAGAAAAGCATTTCTCAAAGAAAAACGTTCCTCAATAAAACCACGACATCTTTTAAAATGATGTCATTACTTGCAGCTTTTTTATACTGCACCTTATTGTAAAAAGCTTTTACATGCAGTTTCATTTGTATCATCACATGAATTATCACCCCCATTTTAAAGTGAAATAGAAGTTCACAGCAGTGTTCATTCATTTAAATAATATTTATTGGGCACCCAAATTCCAGATGTCAGACTTGCACATGTTGATTCACTCACACTGCATCCCAAGAAATAATGCTCTTCCCATGAGATGTATAAGAAAAGTGCTTTTGAAAGGTGAATCATTGCTTATTGTCTCTACTACATAGTGTCTCAATGAAGAGATATTTATGTCATGAATATCTCCAGAATAAGGCAATGATTATCTCTATTATTGTTATTTTTTTTTTTTGCATTTTATGTTTTGGGGTACATGTGAAGAACATGCAAGATTGTTGCATAGGTACACACATGGCAGTGTGATTTGGTGCCTTCCTCCCCTTCACCTATATCCGACATTTCTCCCCATGCTATCTCTCCCTACCTCCCCACCCCCGTCCCTCCCCCATTTCCCCCCAACAGACCCCAGTGTGTAGTGCTCCCCTCCCTGTGTCCATGTGTTCTCATTGTTCAACACCCGCAGTCTTACTCTTAATTAGTAGCAACATACCTACAATTTATTGAGTGCCCACAAGTGCCAAGCACTGAGCCAAGCCCTCTTCATAAATTCTCATTTAATTTGAAGAACTATCTTGTGGAAAAGGTGGCATTATTCCACATTACAGATAAGGAAATTGAGGCTTAAAACATCCCATATTACAGATAAGAAAACAGGCTTAAAACAGCAGTCAACTAAATCAGAGCAACTGGGCTAGGGTTTCTAGTATCCTAAGAGAACCTAATAATGACCGTCTACTAGGGTCACTATTCTACAAAAAGCTAGGACACTAAATTATTACATTTAAAACAAACTTACACTGTCACGGATCTAGCCATAAAAACTCAACACTCAACATTTAATTTAAATGTGCTTATTGAGTTACTCAACATTGTGGGTGGGGGGAGTGGCTATAAGAATGACTCAGGTGTCCATTTTCTTAGTGAGTCCACAATGTGGTTAAGGACCATTGACTTACATAATAACTGATAAAGAAACAAAGACATGTCACAAATAACATATCACAAAGGAATAACAAATTATGATATTAAATAATTATGGCTTCAGTCAACAACAATGAGCATACTACTTTAAAATGAAAGGAATGTTCAGTGAAAAGTATTTTTTAAATGACTCTCTTATCCCTGTCAGTACTCACGTAATAGTTGAAGACTTTCTGGGAAAATGATCTTCCATGATATTTTTCTTAATTCTAAAAAACAACAGAAAAATATTTCTAAATTACATAAGTTAATAATATAATTTAACATACATTTCTATGGAACTGGTGATTTTTGCTTTTAACACATATTAATGAGGGAGAGCAGCAAGAAAACTCTCCCAGTGTCAACAAGAGACTGGTAGGAATGACAAGTATGATTCTCTGTTGGACCAAACACTGTTATGGACTTAATGTATTTGTCCCCACCCCTTCTCCAAATTCATATGCTGAAGATCTGACCCACAGTATGATAGTATCTGGGGGACCTTTGGGAGGTGATTAAGCTTAGATGAGGTCATGAGGATGGGGTTCCTATGCTGGGATTGATGCCTTATAAGAAGAGGAAGTGAGATCAGAGTTCGCTGTATCTCCACCATCTGAAAGCATGGCAAGAAGGCAGTCATCTGCAAGGCAGAAAGACAGCCTTCACCAGAGCCTGACTATACTGGCATACTAATCTTGGACTTTCAGCCTCCAAAATGAGGAGAAAGTAAATTTCTGTTAAGCCACCCAGTCTGTGGTATTTTGTTAAAGCAGCCTGAGCTAAGACAAACATTGGTAAAATAAATCTCAGGGCTGAAATACTCACTTTGAAATAGATGTCCTATCAGTAGAAACAGCTCTTTGTCTAATCAGTTGTCTGTTTTTGGGAGGAAGTTGTATCATTTTGGGTACTTCTCCAGTTGAAAGGGTATCCATTTGAGAAATAATATACTTATCTGGAATATAGTGTCATTCATGAGTCTCCATTGCCTTTATGATCAGCAAGTGAAAAGCAAAGGTAAACGGTATAATACCCCCAATGCTGCCATGGAAATTAACAATCCCATCTCTAGGGTTTAAAGCCAGACTCTAGGGTTGTTGCTTTGTTTTTACTGTACAAACAAAATCCAAGACCCAGCATTGAATAGTACAAACAATAAGAGAGTTGTCAATGAAGTAGCAAAGTTTGTTAACCATTTAAAATTATAGTAATTTGTTTAATGATATCTTGTGGTGAAAAAAGAAGAATAAAAGAAAAAGTTGTTCAGTTAAGCTCCCATTTGCAGTGAGTAACAAGCTTACCTGAAGATAGCAGTGCTTTCTCCTCAATTTTACAGCTGACTTGGTGTTCAAGGAATTCTCGAACTTGATGAAAGTTAGGTATTTCTCTTTCTTGCTTACGTCTTTGTGATTCCACACTTTTTAGTACTCTATGCAATTGTTCACTTGAAATACCATGTATATCCTGAAGGAATAAGATGTTAAGTTGGCCAGTTAGCCTGGGAAGTTTCATTTCATGGGCATATATCAGCATTAACTGTGCCATTTCAATCCATCCTTACAAGGCTCCAGCTATGTGTAGAGGGTAAGAGTTCCCCAACAAGTAGACTGTCCTGGCCCCAGAGGGGCCATGAGTTCAGTGAGGCACATGAGGCATGTGCATGTTTGTGACTGGCTGACCAACAAGGATGTGTGTCATAAGGACCAAATGAGTCTACAAAGGCTAGAAGAACTCCAGAGAGAGAGGTCATCAAGTGGCCAAAGAAGGCTGAAAGGGGAGGCTGAGCTGTGGCTTGAAGGACAGGTAGAGTCAAACTAGTAAAAACAAGGAGAAATTTCCAGATGGGCAGGCTTAGGGTAGGGACACCTGTTAGAAAGGAAGGTGTCAAGGAAGAAACGGGCAAGGCATGTCCCACAGGCTAATGCTTACAAAGACCTGGGTGATGAAACCAGCAGAAGAGACTGCATGCCAAGCCAGAAGGCTGAAAGGTTATTTTACAAGGAAGAGGAAGTCATCAGAAGTGATTTTCAACTATGAAAATAGCATAATTAAAGAGACAATTTGAGAAATGTCACTTAGATTTGACAAGAATCTAGACAGAAGAAAACTAGTTGAAGGGATATTTCAACTCACGAAATTTCAACTCACACACACACCTACCTATCGTCTTTGTCCTCATCCCCCTTGCTTCCCTCAGCCTTCCTTCCCAGTCCAAGAGAGTAGCCCCACCACCCACCCAGTTACCCAGGACAGAAATCTCCATCATCAGACAAAGTACCACCCCCAAGAAGAAGTTTTTTCTGACCTCAGTTATTCAGTCAAGCCCCTCCTCTACTTTTCCTTTATTTCATTTCATACAGTCTATCATTAGAGATCTCCCATTTGTCTTTGCAATCATTTGTCTCATGCCTGTCTTCCTATACCATGTAGCTGGAGGGTAAGATCTAATACGGTACAAATGTCAATCCTTCCTACTTAATATACAAAATTTAAAGCAATTTCAATCAGAATCCCAATAAGGGTTATTCTGGGAGTTAAAAAGTTATTCCTAAAGTTCATTGGAAAACAAAATACGGAAGAATTACCAATAAATTTTTTAAATAAGACCAATGAAGAAGGCATGGCCTATACAAGATATCAAAATACAGGACAAAGCTACACTAATTAAATTAGTATGATGTGGGTAAAGGAACACACACAAAAAAAACAAGGTAAAACATTTGAAAGTACAAAAACCAATCCAAATATATATATGGGGATTTCCTCTATGACAAAAGTATCCTTTTAAATAAATGGATTATGCAACAAATGATACTGGGACACCTGATTCAACTGGAAATTAAGTCAGCTCTCCAAATCACTGTTTTAAAACCTCATTCTTAAAGCTCACATAGACAAAAACAAAATTAGACAAAACAAAACAAACAAAAAACCAGGAAAACCTCTCCAAGCATTAGGAAAAAAAAACCAAGAGAATGTTTTAATAATCTTAGGATAAAAGAAAATGTCCCAATTAAAATTAAAACCCAAAAACCACTAGCAAACCACCAACATGGAAAACTACAATTTCAAGAAACAATTTGCACAGGAACCACACATTCCATGAATGTCTTTGATTTCTACTGCCAAAGGGTGGTCAAATCCACCTAAAAAGGGTCTATGTGGAAATTTAAAAGACTGACTGAGTTGATAAAAGATGTGGAGCAACTGAACTCTCCAACACTGTTAGGGACAGTGTGAGTTGGTACAAAGACTTGGAAAACTATTTGACAGCACCTACTGTACTAAACATATGCCTACCCTTTAACCCAGTAATTTCATCCCTAGATATGTATTCAAGAAAAACGATTGCCCATGTTCACCAAAAGACATGTACAAGAATTAATAGCCAAGAAGAGCCCCCAAATAGAAACACAAATGTCCATCAGCAGGGAAGAGATAAACTGCAGTGTAATTACACAGTAGAATGCTATAAGGCAATAAACAAAGAACAAACTACTGTGACATGAAACAACAGCCATGAATCTTATAGATAAAATATAAGCAAAAGTAAGATATAAAATATTACACAGTGTATGACTCCACTTTTATGAGGTTCAAGAACAAGCAAAACTAGATCCGAATACCCTTTACCTCCAATTGAGAAGTAGCGGGTGATAATGACTAGGAGAATGTAAAACAGGGTCTTCCAGAGTGTTAGAAATTTTTAGTCTCATCATCTGGGTGCTGGTTATAGATCATAAACACACACGCATGTACATACAAATCCACATATATACATAAAAGTATACAAACATGTATACCCACAAATATAACCATATACACACATACCTCTGAAAACCACATAAACATCTATATATATACATAGACACAAATGTGTACACACATACACAGATATCTGCATACACACATGGATACATACGTATATATATATATATATATATATATATATATATATATACATATCTACATGCACACATATGCTACATATCCACGTATATGTGTCCATGCATGCATATGTGCTCACAAGCTTTGCACATATACATACATGTGTATATATGCATATGTAGATGGACTTTTATATACATATAAACTAATGAAGTTATTCAATTAAGATTTATATCTTTATGTATGTCAAGAAAAAATATAAAAGCAAAAAGTCTATATGATATAACAAAATTATTCAATCTGACAACAATATGAAATACAATCCATTTGTCCATTCATTCAACATGTATTAATGAAGTACTGATTTTGTAATAGGCAATGATTTGAGGTTAACATGAGAAAGTAAGTAGCACTGTGACTGCCTAGATACAAACCCTGGCTCCTTCATTACTAGCTGTGTGACGTTAATCAAGTTACTTACCTTTTCTGTAAACTGTCAAGATAATAATGTCATTTATTTCAGAGATTTGTTTCTAGGTTTAAATGAGTTAATATTTGTTAAGGTCTTAGAAGTGTGCCAGGCACTCAGTGAATGCTATCCAAGTGTTTGATCAATAAAGTAGGTCACAGGAGCCTCTGGTCTCCAAACATGGACAGAATTGATGTGCTCTCTTCTCTTCTCTGATCATTTCTAACTTAGAAAACAAAATATAGCAAAACTAACAAATATTCCAAAACTGAAGGAACGTACTGCGTCGATCCCCAAGGTTTCCAGCTTCTCCGTCAAGTTCTGCTCCACCATTGTTCTTAGTTCCTTAGTGAGGGAGGAGTTACTCTTCAAAGCTTTCCTTAAATGCATTTTGTTATTTAATTTCTGTTCACTTTCCCTTCCTGAAATAAGGTTTTTAAAATGTGTTAAAAAAAAAATTAAGCAAATACATCAAATCTCTAAGCAGAAAACGGCAAAGCACAGCTTTTAAGCAGCAAGTATTTGTGATATTTTAAAGTTTTTGGATATCTTAGTGACTCAGAGCAATACAGAATGCTTAAGCTATGTAGCTTTTAAAAACTACTTTATGTCTGCTTCAAAACTTCAGTATTTTTAAAGACTCTGGATCGCTTAATCAGATTACAACTACAGATATATATATATATGTATCTATAGAAGCATGATGGAAAAAATTTGTTTAGAAGTTTAACGTTTTATCACTAGAATTATATCACTATTTCCTGAAAAATTCATCCATAAGCTCACTCAGTTAGAATTTATGTGTCATTTTATGAAAAAAAAAATGCCCAGTTTACTTTAAATAATTAAAAGTTTTTGGCTGGGCTCAGTGGCTCACGCCTGTAATCCCAGCACTTTGAGAGGCTAAGGTGAGTGCATCACTTGAACCCAGGAGTTTGAGATGAGCCTGGGCAACATAGTCAGACCCTATTTCATGTTTTTTTAAATTCACCTGGGTGCAGGTGGGCTAAGACTGAAAAGGGCATTAGCTGTGAGACCCCATTTCAATTTATTTTAAATATAAAACAATTTTCAAACTTTCTTAGCTTACTAGAAGCTAAGTACATATAAAATTTCAAGATGTAAAATTCATTATCCCCCTTAAAATATTTACCAAAATGAAAAAGGATAACAAAAGTCTTAGCAAAAGTGTATTAAATAACCTATGATTAAAAACAAAGAAACCAAAAACAACAGGCTATACTCTTCGCACTTCGTCCCTATCCCTCTTTTATTCCCCACTAAAAAAAATTGTCAAGTTTTAAAGAGTTTGGAGAAGAATGATGGCATGACCTTTGAAAATCTGAGTCCTTATGTTCAAAGGAACTAAAGACTTGATTAAAGAGATGCAATGTTTGGCAGGTCAGACCCTTACTGACTGTCCAAAGCCTGATCTGGGAGAAAAGTGACAACTGTACAATCATTTTGGAGTCTAACCTCCTAACAGGGGCGTTTTGCCCACCAAGGGTGGCATCAAATGCCATTTTCTAGGTGTGGGGCTCCAGGCCGCCTCACAGAATCTCTGTCACTGCCTCACCCATCTCAGCAGAGGGCATTCTTAATACCCATAGTACCTGGATTTGCAGGAGATCTTGAACAAAATCCCTTTTTGTTTAATATGTTTTTTAAACAATAGTTCAAATCCCACATTAGAAAATATTTCTATTACATTAATAGACAGTTTTATTGGAAGCAAAATTAGTCAAATAACTTTTTTTGTGCATTAAATAGAAGAAAAAATCCTGCACAAAACACTTTTCTACATTTCCCTATTGCAGCTTGCTAACCTGAAGTGATAAAACTGCACATAATTATATATTAAAAGTCACAACTAATCTTAAATTTTATATTCTCAGCATTCATACTGCTATTCTCAGCATTCATACTGCTATTAACACTGGTGAGTGTTCTGAAACCACCAAAAAAAGCACCTCTACAAACAGACATCATAGCTGTTGCCACTATGTCACTTACTTTGGTTTCTAGGTGGCCATCAAGTGTGCAACTGTCTAGGGCCAAAAATAAAAAGAGATTCGAAGAGAGAACCTGGAAGTCTTGGTGTTACCATTGAAATAGACATGCCTCCCACCCCAATCATGCAAAGAATCTCTTGGCCAGTATCTCAGATAATGAAAGATGTACACGGAAGCATCACCTAAAGAGAGCCTCTGGGCCCTGTTTCCTCTGGGACTTGGGGCCACATACAGGGGCAAGCGATGCCTGGAATGACCTGGCTACAGTTAGAAGAGCTGTAAGGCCTTTGCCGTTAATTGTTAAATTCATTTGCTGATGTGTCTGTGATCACCCTCAACTCGGATGACAGGTTCATTTTAGTGACTGAGTTCCCCCAAATTACTGCAGATCACACATTTCCCTCTGTCCTCAAATTCACCTTATATACTAGTACTTGCTTTTGGAAACCATTTATGAATGAAACCATTTATGAATTTAGAGCACCCTTGGTAAAGATTCTTACAAGGCTGGGACTGGCCAATGAAAGCAAGAGAAAGGATGTAGACTCGGCAGGAAAAAATAAAGTAAATTTTTATGTGGAAGTGGAATTAATCCCTTTGAAATCAACCACAGCTGAATATTTTATGTGTTAAAGCACATATAGCTCACCAAGACCAAGACAAAACTTTCTAGAGTGGCATTTCCTTCAAATACAAATTTTAAAATGCAAGCAAGCTGATGGCCAGGCTAATGCACAATAGCCTATTCATGCGAGCAGTTTTATCAGACACACAACATTCCATTTATAGTAAGCAAATAATTGTAGCACAAGGCAAATTATTTCTAAAAATCCCTGAATTTCTGAGTTGGAGGGGACTTTATCTATCACCTGGTAATGAACCACCTCATTTTTCACATGAGGATACTAGAAACAGCCACAGAGTAACTTCCCCAAAGGTCATCTAGCTGGTCCTATAGAGGCCACCTCAGTTTCCGTTTCTCCATTTTCTCTTTGCACTAAACTATGGACAGTAGAAAACCTGGATATTGTCACTAATTAAACTCAACAACCCGAAGCAGGCTTTTAATCCCTACTATGTTTTGTTTCTGGAAAATAAAATGGTCTCTAAGATCCCTTCTGGCCCTCACCTTCTAGTATCTATAAAACAGCAAAATCAATGTGCCTCTGCACAACTGGCAAACAGCAGGTACACAGAAATATGCATGCGTGAGTTACTTCTTAGTAAAAGCCAGTGTTTTTGCAAACTGCTGCCAAAATTTACCTTCACAGGCACTTATCTGCAAAATGTTAGCACAAGCTGAGGAATTTATTGATGGCAATTAATCTGCTGCCAGTATGTACCTCCAAGGAGGCAGTCACTGGTTTCTGCAGTGGTGCACGTGGACCCTGGGGTGTTTTCCATGGTCCTTGGCACTCTCCCATCTACCACCAGAGCTGAACACATGCAGCGTGGCAAGGATGATTTTCTTTTCCAGTCCACCCTCCTAAATATGACAGCAGCCAATGGTGGTGTTTGCTGTCAGTGATTCCAAACCACCATCCTACATTGAATGGAAGAACTCTAAAAACACAGGCAGAGGGATGCAGTGAGTGAAATCTGGAAGTGGAAGTTAGAAGACCACTCCGGGTGATGGTGGACAATCACGATGCCTATAGGAAACTCTCACTGAGTCATTTTTAAAATGCATATGAACTACATGACCTGAAGTTCCAGTTTTGAAATTATGTGATCTTTTCTATGAACCTCTGGACACGTTTCACAGATTCTACAAAGAATATGGGATTTTATGTCTTGAACATTAGTAAATGATATGTATGTAGGAGAGAGGAAGCATGTTACTTGCAAGCGAAATAATGTGTCATTTTTCAGAGCTCAAATAGGGTAAGACTTGTTCATCCTGTTCCTGGAAAACCAAAAGGGATGGTTGAAAATCACTTCACGACAATATTTTTAAAGCACTATCTCTTGTCAACCTATGGGGCTCAGAAGCTCATATGCCTACACAAAGGAAAGAAGGCAATGTGGGGCAAAAAGAGTTGAGGGGGATTATGGCAAACTGGAGGTTGCTTCCATAGCTGGTGACGGCAGCTCAGCCCTGCTAAATGTTGCTAAGCAGACCATGCACCCAGAATTTTCAGGGTATTGTATTGTGGCACAGAGCAAATAATTTTAAAAAACAACAACCAGGCTGGGTGCAGTGGTGCACGCCTGTGATCCCAGCACTTTGGGAGGCCAAGACGGGTGGATCACAAGGTCAAAAGATCTAGACCATGCTGGCCAACATGGTGAAACCCTGTCTCTACTAAAAATACAAAAATGAGCTGGGCATGGTGGCACGCACCTGTAGTCCCAGCTATTCAGGAGTCTGAGGCAGGAGACTTGCCTGAACCTACAAGGCGGAAGTTACAGTGAGCCAAGATCATGCCACTGCACTTTAGCCTGGGCATCAGAGTAAGGCTCTGTCTCAAAAAATAAAAAAACAAAAAACAAAAAACAATCAGAATTTCTGAGTTGGAAGGGACTTTATCACCTAATGATAGATAATTAAATTGTGTAGATTGCACTACAATTAAATATTGGCAACCAATTGTAAAATAGGTGCCCACAGTGCAGCTGGAACAAGTCAGCATCTATGGAATCGATTTAGACTGCAGGATCTTGTTTGGTGCCTGGGCTGTGGCCATCTTTAAGTTGCTGGAAATATCTGGGAATAAGCCACCCAGCAATTTATTTGTTTAACAATGGAACAAGGCTGAGGACCTCATAAGAGGGTGACAATATATTTTAAGATTATGCTCATCAGAATACCCCTAAAATTTTCCTCAATAAGTTATTATAGCTTTATGAATTTAATGTACCTACAGTCACTCTTGTTTCTGAAAGAAGCAGGTTTCTAAACATTGGAACAGCAATTACAAAGAAATAAGACAGAAATGAAGCAGCTAAAACCAAACTCTTCAAAATCAGTGCCAAACATGAACAAAATCAGTGCCAAACATTTGAACAAGAAGATATGCAATCCTGAAATAAATAATCTGCTAAAATATAGAAAGTCAAGACAAATTACAAAGATACATAGAAGCAAAATAAACTCCATACAAATATTAAAAAGTTACTGACCATTAGCATAGCAAGATCAGATTGAAAGTGTACATCATATAGGTATTATGAATATGCCTGATTTAGTCCATTCTCAATTTGTAGCCTTATAAAAATAAAAAAATTGGCAGTTTTTTTGAGAGAACAAGGGAAGAGGCATAATAAATATTGAATTTACATATTAGAATATAGATCGTTTGACTTATCTTCTTGACAAATATGACAAAACCAGAACCAATGTAAGTATTGACAATTTGCTGTCTCTTAAAGAAGTGATATATGGTGAATTCTTATAATAAATAAGAAAAGATTATGATAAACTGATTCAAACATAATTGTTTTCAAAGTCTACAAATCTAGCATTAGAAAATGTTCCTCATAATTAAACCCTTTCTTCATAAACTCAAAAAACTAATTGATAGAAAATAATTAGAACTATCAAATAAAACGAGTAAGCAGTAATAATTATCTCCCAACACCTGCAACAGCTCCCAAATTCCACCATGAAGATATTGTTTTGCACATAAATATTCCACATCAAGGACTTAGACATGCTTTTTCTTGCTGTTAAAAATAATTTGGAAATAAGCACTTCACCAGTTCATTTCAGATTAAGGGTATGATCAATCACCGCTAATGATACAAATATTTTCAGATCCTCTGGTGCACAACACACATGTGTGTCAATATGTCATCTCATCAGAACAATCTGCATTGAAATAAAGACTTAAATTTTTTTTCAAGTTTCCTGAAAGGTAATTTCTTATTTCATCTGCTTGCATAAGAATACCATGCAGCAGGGGCAAACAGAACAGAATATTAAGAGAATAGAATAACAGAATACTCAATGAGGGCTGAAAGTAAAATCCAAATCTAAATGTCTTTCCTAATTTTGAAGTACTGGGATAAAAACCACTGGCTCATATTTTCCAGGCCTGGGTTCTAGCATATAAACATAACCCGTGCAGGTAAACCTGAGCAAGCCCTTTGTTACCTTTTTCTTCCTCTGAAAGTTCTTCTATTGGTTCCAGTATGTGCGACGAGAATGCCTGTTCTATTAACAAGGAAAAATAAGAATAGTACAAACAGGACAACAGCAAAGTAACATTAGTTTCCTTTCAAATAATTTTGTAAGATATACTTCCATGGTATTTTAGTCATGCCTAAACAGCAAGAATTTACTGAGGAAAAAATGTTGAGGCAGTTAAAGGTGGTCGCCTTTTCATGGAATCTTCTATTTCTGTGTACTTTTCATTAACTACACTCTACAGAAATTACATTTTTAAAAAATTAAAGTTTCTTATTCATCAACCTAGTGCACAATACCCTTTTAAAACACAAAGGCACAACTGCAAAAGATCTTCATTAGTTATAAAGTATTTTGATCAAGTGGCTAAACAAAATTAGTGAAAACATCTCAACTACAAAAAACTATAAAATTCCCAAGGCCCTGGGATTCCCATTTGTTCCTAGTGCTAACGCCATGGTTTTCAAGTGCTAAGACCAGGAAAATAAAAGGAGAATGACAGGAGAGAGGTCAGCAGCTAGACTGAGAGCCATTCTCAGACACCTGCATGGATGCATTTTAAGTTCCAGGGCTGGAGAATGCCTTGGTCCCACTGCTGGGCAAATGAGTGAGGGCTTTTCCCAGTCTCACCCCAGAACAGCAACCACACTCAGGGTAGATGAGGTCTTTGGGTGACTTTCCTCAGAGAAATGTTATGTGCATGCACAAGGAAACCTGTCAGCAGCAGACATTAAAACCAAACCCTATCCTATCAACTGAAGGAAATGTCCTTCATCAGGAGGGTCGGGTTTTGGGTGACAGTTTAATGATGGTGGTCAGGCATTAGACACAGGATACAAGGCAACCAGCAAAGTTGGTGCATGGTTCACTCACCTTCAGCCTGGAGACTGATACAGTGCATTTCCCCCCACAAGCTCTCCACTTTCACCTCCAAGGGGGAGGTCACTGCATTCTACCACCAGACCTGGGAGCGGGTGACAGGCCAGGGTAAAAACGGCCAACAGTTACCACGTGCTCATCAGGTGGCAGGGCAGGGATACAGAGGCGTATCTCAGTTTTAATGCTTCCTACTTTAAAGGGTCTGTTTTTTTTAATTTGTTAAAGGCTGTTTCTAGTACACTATTTCAGATAGATAGATAAAAGAGAGATGATAGATAGATTGATTGATTGATTGCTTGACATATTGATTTAGGTACATATAAATAGGTTCTTATAGCTTAGCCAGCAACCTAGTCAACATATGTAACATTGGCTGTATGGGAGAAATGCATCTTAAACTACTTTGAGGTGAACTTCTGGAATACAGCCTATGACTGAGTAAGACTACCTTAATGCTGAAGTGAAGACATAGCCATGGAAGAAACATTTAAGCCCGCCAGGTACCGCAGCTGCTGACCACCAAAAATATGCTTTTCAAACTTGTTATATAGCATCAAGATTTTAAAAAATCATACAAATTGGCTGTATTACTAGTTTGAACTGCTAAAAATAGAGATTTAAGGAGGATAACTATTTTCAGATTTTAGGAAGTCACACCATTTGCATTTTATTGTACTTTGTGATCAAAATAAGGTCACGTGGAAACTTTTAAGAAAAATTTCATGAAATCATCTCACACATATTTATTATTTTATTACAGGGATATTCCTATGACTTATTTATCTAGGGTTCAGGATAAACTGCCAGGTTCTGATGTGTTTCCCTCTATGTATAGAGGAAGAGTTCTGGTAGAAGGGGAGATTCCTGAACGTGGTTCCCATAGTAAGCGCTGGGTAGGTGAGGCTGGCCAAACCCCAGCTCCTCAAACAAGCAGGCTGATGTTCCATATCAGGAGGGAAGGACCTGGCCTGCTTGTGCTTTGTAAGCCACGAGTCTAGTCTTCAAATCCTGTCCTGAGCTGAGATCAAGTCCCAGATCCTGTCCTGAGCTGAGATCCAGGGTGAGAGTCAGAACACTCAGAGATCTGACTTTCCCATGAACTTGTTGGAGGCTTTCAAAAACAAACCAACCTTGTCAGTTTCCTACCACTGTCTCCAGAAGAAAGGATCTTGGACCTTTACCTAGCCCTGCCCTTTTGCCCCTGGCTGACTTTGTCTTAACCTCATCATGCCCACCTTAGAGGCTAACACTGGCTAGAGCTTACCCAGTGGCTTGTGTCTTGCTGGACCATCACAATGGCCGTGGCTGTTCTCTGCACTTGGCAGACAAGGCCACCCAAGCCCATGGCTTAGGGGTGGGCTGTGAATCTGGACTGCCTGCTTCCAAAATCTAGGGACTTGGCCATGAAGCTATTATTCCTGCCCACTGGTGCTCACTAGGCTTGTCTTTCTGACTTCTCCAAATGCCACCGCTGTCCACTCATTATCAGAGTTCACTGTGCTCCGACTTTCCTTGGCCCTGGCCCTGGCCCCGATCACTTGCTCACTCCACCAAACCACTGATCTGTCCACTCATTCTCCGGTCTCATCACCACAACCAAGACTCCTGGGGCGGAAACTCAAATGCAGCATGACCCACACCCACAACTAGTCTCCCCCGCTCGGATTCTCTGGACCCGCTCTGGTTAGGCCAAGCCCTTCATAGCCCAGCTCTCCAATTCTGCACGCCCAGCCTCAAGAACACTCAGTGGCTATACAATGCCCTCCAAATGCCCTTGGACAGCTGCAGCCTGGCACCCAGCAGGTGCCATGAACAGCTTCAACCAACCTCACTTCCCTCCCATCTCCTCTTCTTCTCTATGCATAGCTAAGTCACATCTAGTGCTTTCCTGCCACCTTTTCCTTGTTACTATTTGCTTTGCCTAGGATGCCATCCCGACATACTCACCTCCTACTCGGCTCAAATGGCCAAATATCAGCTATGCCAGGAAGTCTTCTCAGAGTCCCAAATGGAGAAAATCTCTCCCCTGTTTGGATACCCATTTCGTTTCTCAATGGCTCTCACCTTGCACCATAGTTAAAAGAATGTAGTCTCCTTTATAAGCTCTAAGTTCCTTGGGGACAGATTTCGTTTCTGATTCATTTCTGTATCTCCGTCATGCCAGCCTTGGCCTTACACTCACGAGTAGCCCACAATTGTCATTACCTAGTGGTTGGTGAAGGAAGGGAGGCAGGAGTGGCCAGACACCACTGGAGAAACTACATGGCATGTTAACTCCTGTCAAAAACATATTCACTTAAGACTTTCCTGAGCTTTCCCAGGATACATGTCTAGGAGATCTTGTTGGCACATCTAGACATTTCCCCTTGTGACTGCACGTAAACATGGTCACCTGACAGGGATCAGCCCTATTCTCCTTTAGAGGGCTGAATCCCATTGAACTAAGACTTCATTTCAAGGTTCCCCATCCCACTTCTGTAACACTGTTTGGGCCAGTGGTGTCCAGACAGAGAGGCCATCTTTCTTCCCATTGAGAGACACAGAACTCTGGAACATACCACCTGTCATGTATTGGACAATAAACTATTGATTGTGTTAAGTTTCAGTATTTCAAGATGTAGAATACTTGCTTTGAGAGCAAAACATAAAAATAATTATAAAGTCTAATCAAAATGTTTCTAAGCTGGGTGCAGGGACTCACACCTGTGGTCCTAGCACTTTGGAAGGCCAAGGCGGGAAGATCATTTGAGCCCAGGTGTTTAAAACCAGTCAGGGCAACAAAATGAGATGCTGTCTATACAATAAATTTAAAAATTAGCCAGGTATGGTGGCACACCCCTGCAGTCTCAACTATGTGGGAGGATCACTTGAGCCCAGAAGGTTGAGGCTGCAGTGAGCTATGATCACACCACCACACTCCAGCCTGGGAAACAGAGAGATGCCTGGTCTCAAAAAAAAAAAAAGTTTCCAGTTTTTGTGGTCCTCATTGTAGCTATATACAATTAAAGTCATGTATATGTAAGCCTCTCACATTTTATAGACCAAATTAAAGGAGGACTTTACATGTAGGTAGAATCTAGCAGGTGCTCATAGACTTTGGGAAAAGTGATTATTTTGCATCTTCACTTCACTGGTTGCTCTAAAAGTGAGCCACATAATCAGGCCAGGCAACCTAAGCAATTGGTGTATGGGTCCGTTTAACATCAACAACAAATAATACTTTATTTTCTGGGCATCCTAATACCACCATTTAGTCACAACTCCATGAGCAAAGAGAAAAGTGGTCTCCAGAGGGGGAAATACTATTAAAAATTTGAGATTTGTCCAGAAAAGACACATACTGGGGGATGGGAGTCAAGCATGATCATTTATCTTCCCCAGAGCCTGTGTTTCATCCTATCAACTGTCTTAGAATCAGAACCTACTGCCTGTGCTGTTCAGCTTGTGCAGCAGAAGTGAAAGCAAGGGAGTCATTAGGGTTCTCATTTTACCTAGATCCTCTCAGGCCAGATGTGCTGGCAATGTTGGATCCTAGCAGCTCACAGTAGAGTCCCTTCCAGGCTGCTTTAGCTCACCCTTTCCTCGGGGCAGCCTTCATCAGATGACAAATCAATGCAAGGGGCAGTGGCCCTCCCCTGCCTCAGGGGAGGACAAGCCGGAGTACTCATCCCAGCTCCGCAGCTTTGAAGCAGGACTAGCTGAGCCCTCCACTGCAACTGGGTCTGGGTTCAAGGTCCCCTTTGCCCAACTCTGCTTTTCTCACAGGTGCTGTCTGAGGGCACCCCCACTTCCCACCCATAAACTTCCACATGAGTCTGTTTCCCAGGGGACCTGGCCTACAGTGGTAAGGAATCTCGAGATTTTTCATGGTAAAGAAACTCATCAAGCTTTGAGATGGAACAAAGGACAGAGAGTGAATGGGCAAATAAACGTTATGCAATCCATGACTAACCTACCCTGCCCTGCCCTTGCTGGCCTGACGGGGTGGAGGACATCAGTGAGCCCTGGCCAAGTCTCTTCCTAGCTCCTGCCCACTGAGATGCTCACAGATCAGCTTTGATCCCCATCCAAGGGCTGTGGGCCCTGTGCCAAGTCTGGCTGGCATTTAAAACTAGCATTTCAATCCCAGCAGATGCCAAGAAGGGGGCATGACTGAATCGTGCAGCTCTGGGCCAGTGAGGGTAGGATCCCCACAAACACGTGCTTTAGAAATGATCGATTTTTCAGGACCCTTGAATTAACCCCTGACAGCTTAATGTACCTACTGGGGTGTCCTTTAGTTAGCAACAAAAATATATGACAAAGAGACTGGGGACCATGTGTAATGTCATACAGAAAGCTAAAAATAGCAAAGTGGAGGGGTGGGGAAGTCAAAGAAACTAAAATACACTGTTGAAGTACAAAAGAGAAGTGGCCAGCAATGCTTTACAAAAATCAATAAAAGGAGACAACAGAGAGAGTTTAGACCTGACATAAAATAATATGAATACAGAATGACTGCTAGAGACACTTTTCTTATATGCTCACTATTAGAGCAAATTTATTTATGTCCAATCTACTTTGATCTATTACTAGCCTAAAGGAAAAAAACTGCATACTCTAAACACTTGCAAATAAGATCAATATATGGAGAATTTAGACATGACATATTGTGATCACATACTCAAGACAACTGATCTTCCTGAAATGATCTTTGGAAAAAAAATAAGGTGCGATAAACGCTTCATGAGTCAGTCATTAGTAAAAAGGATTAAGATTATTACTAAAGTTCATAATATACAGACTGCAGTATTTCTGAAGACAAGAAGTGCCACTAAACAGACCAGTTAGATCATGGGTTTAACTGTAATCTTTTTAAAAGACCAAAAATGAAAGAAGAGTGAAATAATCATTGGATTCCAGAGCAACTGTATGTGAGACAGAAAAAAGATGGTCCTTCTCTCATCTTAATTTGTCTGTAATATCCAACAGACCACAGGAAAACATCATATTAAAGAATGCACTATAAAAACTGTTAGCACTTTCACTGTATAAAAAGTGAACTATGGCTACAAATATTCAGCCCATCTATTGGATCATGCTAATAACAATTATCTCTTTTGATCTGGTCCAAGAACTGAGCCCTGGCAATGATTTCACCCAGTGGTTCCTACCTATTTCCTTTGGTTTCCATCACATGTCTTTTCTAGATTTTCCCAACCAGTCATTCAAACTGTTTGTTTAGAAAAGGTGACTTGCTGCCACATTGAAAGTTATAAAAACAACCACATGTGCCCTGTGGCATGTGCTGGTTGGCTGGTCTGGTAGCAGGTCACCCTCATTCTTACCCAACACCTACTACTTTCCACAAAATCATAAATCATCAAGACACCATTCAAAGTTAAAATCTCTACTTGGGAGTCTGGCCACCTTTTATTCCTATATGTACCTTTTATACTTTAAGACTTCGGTAGGTATGTCCAGTTTACAATAGCATTACGAAGACTGCAGTTTTAATAACTGTTTTGCAATCACTAAAATGTTTCCTGTTTTACATAATTACCTCCATAGAAGCAGTTTTGGTTAATAAGTTATCTAACTCAGGGTGGCAACTGCACATAAAACACTGAGACTATTACTGAAACTTACCATGCACCACTGGCAGACTTGATTTAGTTTCCAAAGTGTGCAGGGCTGGGGCATTCACTGAAACAGCATAAAAAGGAAGGACTCAGAAGTTTCATAGTTAAAGCATAAGCATCTGAACGTGATGACAGCCAAATATGCCTCAAATTGGTCAAGATACATAGACACCATAAGGGGCAAATATTTCAAGTGACGAAGATATTATACAACTAACCTAAACTTATATTCATAACAGCTTTATGGAGATACATTCACCTTTTAAAAATACACAATTCAGTGGGTTTTTTCTTAGCATATTCACAGGGCTGTGCAACCACAACCACTCTCTGATTCTAGAACAATTTTCATCATCACCTCCCTCAAAATGCCCATGGCCAATAGCCATCAGACCTCATTTCTGTCCCTTCCCCATCCCCAAGAAACAATCTACTATCCATCTCTTTGAATTTGTCTATTCTTGACATTTCATATAGTAAATGAAGTCATACAATACGTGGTCCCTTGCATCTTGGCTTTGCCCACTTAGGACAATATTATCAAGGTTCATCTATGATGTAGTATGTGTATAAATATCAGCATGTATTTTTATGGGCAAAAAGCATTCTGTTTTATAAACTGACCACATTTTATTTACCTATTCATTAGTTGATGGACATTTAAGTTGTTTCCACTGTTTAGCTATTATGAATAATGCTGCAATGAACATTCATACACAATAAACCAGTTTTGAAAAGTAATCACTGGGCTGGAAGACATTATGTGAAGGTATTAATTCAGTCACAGCCTGTAGAGAGGGCTTTAGCCAACTTAAGTAAGACTCAATGCTCTTTAATTTAAATTTCTCCAGAAAATTAGATTCCACAGCCTTCTTCCAATATTTGACAATTCTTATCCAAGAGTCCTCTCTGGACTATTTATTGGTCCAGTGTGTTTTCACTAAACAGTATTTGTCTATTAGTTTACCGCTTCTTTGTTATATCAAGACAGACTTTTAATTTGAATCTTACCCTTAAAAATACTGGCCACAAACCTCAGATACTTTGTTGTTTCATTTTGTTTTCTGAGACAGGGTTTCACCCCTGTCGCCCAGGCTGGAGTGCAGTGGCATGATCTCGGCTCACTAAAACCTTTGCCTCCCAGGCTCAAGCGACCCTCCTGCCTCAGCCTCCTGGGTAACTGGGACTACAGGCATGAGGCACCATACCCAGCTAATTTTTATATTTTTAATAGAGATGGGGTTTTACCGTGTTAGCCAGGCTGGTCTCAAAGTGCTGACCTCAGTGATCCACCTGCCTCGGTCTCCCAAAGTGCTGGGATTACAGGCATGAGCCACCATGTCTGGCCATCAGCTACTTCTATAGGTATACATTTTTTGTCTTCACAATGGCTTCTAGTGAAAGTGTTCAATTCCTATTTGCAAATTACTAACAAACTCTGGAAATATTGCCTTCATACCCATTTGCAATTTATGTAATCTAGATCAAGTTTTGGTAAAGTGTAGTCCATGAGACATACCCAGTCCACTGCCTGTTTTTATTGGAACACAGCCAGGCTCCTTCACTTAAATATTGTCTATGGCTGATCTTGCACTACAATAGCAGAGTTGAATAGTTGCAAAACAGATCATCTAGCCTGTGAAGCCTAATGTAAATCACTATCTGGCCTTTTACAGGAAAAAAAAAATACAGCATACTAAGTATTCCTGATTTAGATATTATTCCAGCTTACGGAAACAAAAGATCTGATGCTGCTAAAATTGATCACAATTTGGTCTTTTCCCTAAACTACAGAATTCATTCCCCTTATTATGAAAGAGCAGTAAATCAGTAAATGACTGACTAGTGTCTAAATCACCAAGGGTATAAATGGGTGGAATCAACAGGTTTGACCATATCTGCCTTATATTAGACATCACAATTCTTCAGTTTACTGGGTATGGGTCTGGTTTATTTACTGCATATCTCCTAAGCTGACTTTCACTTTGTGATTTAGATTTTCTGATCTGAAACTTTAAAGTATATGTTTTCTTTTAAGTGATGAGAAATTCCCTGCCATCCTTGGCTTTTAGATCCTTTTTGTATGCTGGGAAGAGAAATGGGATGAGCCAGTGCCTCACTCAGAAGGGACTCCTGTCTATGGGGGTATGGGCCTATTTTTATTTATTATTTTTGGAATTTTCTAGAGACAGTGGCATCACATTTTTTGACCACATTCCCCAGTCAGTAAAAGTTCCCCTAGATATATACATATTTATTTAAATGAATTTTATATGTACTACAATAGAAATATGTACATTTTAAAATAAAAAATGAAAAAATTCTAAGGATGAGATTACTAATATATAAAAATAACCTCTAATAATTTTTTCTCATATTCCAATAGATAATTTTGCATACTCTGTTTGGATAAAACCACTCTAAATTGGATTTTAAAATTTTTTTCTTGCTTGTATATTTGAGTTTGGTCAGCTGCTGAATATTCTTTGTTTATTTGACTTATTTCGTATTTTACCTTTCTGTCCGTCTCTGAAATGTGGTTTTTTCCTTCATCTCATAAGATATAGGTTCAGCATCTCTTCCTCCCTCAACCCGACTCTTGACACTTAAACTCCTCTCCTCTCCTTACTACCTCTCAACTTCCTCAGGCTCAGGAAGCATCGAGAGGCTTCAAGAAGCCTCTGAGGAAGACCGAGCACTTAAAAGCATCAGCATTTTCCAGCCAATAGTGCCAAATTCCAAAACACGCTCAAGAATGTCCTTTAGGGCCAGGCGCGGTGGCTCAAGCCTGTAATCCCAGCACTTTGGGAGGCCGAGGCGGGTGGATCACGAGGTCAAGAGATCGAGACCATCCTGGTCAGCATGGTGAAACCCCGTCTCTACTAAAAATACAAAAAATTAGCTGGGCGTGGTGGCGCATGCCTGTAATCCCAGCTACTCAGGAGGCTGAGGCAGGAGAATTGCCTGAACCCAGGAGGTGGAGGTTGCAGTGAGCTGAGATCGCGCCATTGCACTCCAGCCTGGGTAACAAGAGTGAAACTCTGTCTCAAAAAAAAAAAAAAAAAAAAAGAATGTCCTTTAGTCACCACACAGTGCTCTCGCAATCCCTGGGCCCATGTACGTGGTCCCGTCCCCCTGTGTTCAACCTCAGCCCATGCTCCTCTCGTGGTCAGATCCACGTGCACGTGGCACGTCTGTCTGCCCTTACTCCTTCCTGAGTGGAAGCAAAACTATTTCAACTATTTAGCTAGTGCTTTTAAACAATCATCTGTCAGTTTCTAAACTGTAAAGATTATGGCCTTTTGGTTTACTGCAGAATCTTGACAGCTCTGGAAGACAGAGCAGATGGCCAGACTAACCACAAGTGGGGACAGACAGGACACCTGTCAAAGCCTGCAGCAGCAAGAGTGTCAGCAGTGTGCCCGTGTGGTGACACCACACACAGTCACACAGTGTGTCACTTGAGAAGTCTACAAGTATAAACTGAAGTGATGCCAAGGAATTTTTGTCACTCCTTTTTAGACAAATTATGAGATAATAGCTACGGCCAATCAACATCACCACGAAATCATGTGGATAGGTATAGTCTTGGGTTTTAGAACTAGGTGAAAACCAAGAATCAAAATAAATCATTATACGATCTCTAAATACATTGGTTTTCAAAGAAAAGTCCCTAAAAATAATAAGTATAAGTTATGCTTTGGTTTAGTAATTTAAAGATACCTTTAGAGCCCTGCATCTATTATAGGAACTTACTGGGCACAGCTGGAGCAGGTGGCTGAGATTCAAAAGCCTGCCAGGCTAAAGAAGTTCCTGAAATGACAGAAAAATAAATGAACAAAAAAAAATCACAAGCTATGGATTAAATTTTGGTAGCCTTTATCCTTATTTGTGCCCCCATGAAAAACAATAAATGAAGGGTACCGATATATAGCATTTCACCAAGAGAATAAATAGGTGCAACATAAATCCTTTTGAAGCTAAATCTTTCCCAGAATTGCTTTCCAGTCGAATATGTATGATATCTAGTTAATCATGCAAGTATTCCTCCCTACCTGGGCTCTTGTTATTTGAAGAGAAGTTGAGGAGAACCACAGCGCTTTCTTTCCCCAAGTCTTTATCTCAAAACAAGAAGGAGGAAACCCAGCTCATAAACCCCAGTACCACCCCCAGTTGGCATTCCTCAAATAGACAAAGATTCCTCCACAACCTGAGATGTGCGGGAACCAGGACTGGATGGAATCACTGGGAAGGAAGCCAGGCAGAAGTGGGACCCTGAACCCGAGACTCCCAGTCTCCCTTCTGGTCTGGTCTAGCTCCTTGTCTTTTGTTTTGTTTTCTTTTGCAATGTCGATGCTTGCCAGGGTCTTGACTGGTTTAGAGAGAGAGAGAGAGAGAGAGAGAGAGAGAGAGAGAGAGAGAGAGAGTGTGTGTGTGTGTGTGTGTGTGTGTGTCAGAGAGAGAGAGAGAGAGAGAGAGAGAGAGTTCTTGAATGATATGGAAACAGGTGGGCTATCATTGCTGCAGTCAGTATGTTATGCATATTCCCACTAAGCTTAGAACAAACCTGTAACCCCCAAATAGCCACAGTTGAGAATAACGCAACAAGCCTTTATAGCACTTTAGAATAATGAAGTGTTTTTTGGTTTTTGTTTTTTATAGATGTGGGTCTCAGTCTGTCATTCAGGCTAGAGTGCAGTGGTGCAATCGTAGCTCACTGCAGACTTGAATTTCTGGGCTCAAGTGATTCTTTCACCCCAGCCTCCTAAGTAGCTGTGACTAAAGGTGCCTGCCACCATGCACAGCTCATTTTTTATTCTTTATTTTTAGAGATGGCGTACTCACTGTGTTGCCCAGGCTAGTCTCAAGCTCCTGACCTAAAGTGATCTTCCTGCCTTGGCCTCCCAAAGTGCGAGGATTACAAATGTGAGCCACTGTGCCTGGCCTACTAAGAGCTTAATATCAATAACAATGGCTAACTTAATGAGGGCTTCACATGTATATTGTCCCATTGAATCCTCATAACAAGACTATGAAGTAGCTACTATTTGCTATGACTTGAATGTCCCCTCAAAAATGCAAGTTGAAATTTAACTGCCATTGTAACAATGTTACATGGCAACAGTAGCAGGAGTGGGTTGGTTATGGAGAGAGGGCTCCTGATTTAAAGAGGAGTTTGGCCCAATCTCTTCTCTCTGTCTCAGGCATTAGCTGGCCAGGCGATGCCCTGCACTGTGGGTTGACCCTCACCAGATGTCAGCACCATGCTCTTGGATTTCCCAGCCTCCAGAAACATTGTCTTTTTATAAATACCAGTCTGTGTTATGCTATTATAGCAGAGAAAACAGACGGAGACACTGTTCATATTCCTACTATAAAGCTGAAGAAACTGAGTCAGAGATTCACAAAGCTACGAAGTGCCAGAGATGGGAGTGGAACCCAGTCTGTCAACAGAACCCTGTGCCTTTATATGCCACAACTCTGTTCTACAGTGTATAAATTAAGAGGTAAATGGTTCTCAAGCAGGTATTTTGTGCCTAATAGTACTCTGATTAAAAAAATGAAACAACCACATGATAGTTTAGATTTTTAAAATTCTTCACCTTTCTGGGTTGTGGTAACAAATCTCTCAAATTAAAATAATAGAGGACAGATGTACCAAATTAATATAGCAAGAAGAATGCCATCTTAGCACACATAAACAAGTGGGGCCCCCATTCTTCTGAAGCCCAGTGCAATTGGGGAGACCCCCCTTGCTGCCAGCACAGGGATCCCGTCCACTTACCTTTGAGTTCACTGACACTGTTTAACGGACTACAGGTACACTCTTTAATCTGCAAAGAAATACAGTCTTCTAGTGATACATTTGAAATTAGATGGGTGCACACGGGGTCATGGACAGATAATGTTGTTAGTAAATTAATCTTTTCACTAAATCCTCCAGAGACATAAGGCATATGGACTTTAAAAGCACAGTGGCAAAAGTTATTACCCCAACCTCATCATCACACAATATGTTCACACAAAACACTTGTCCATATACACCTTGGATCTAACAACAATAACAAAAAAAGGTTTTTAAGTTGCATTTGGATTTGGCTGCTTCTTAAAGTAATTACTGAAAGAAATTCTGATCTACCTTCAAACCAAATTAATTTTGAACTTTATAAATCTTCAACATATTGCTTCTTAATACCTTTAAAAATGTATTTTATTGCACTAAGTTTTACAAGCAATCACAAGGGGGAAAATACTCCATCTTCCTCACCTTATACTACTTACAAATGCTCTATAGCAAAAACACATGTCCTTCTTTACACTGTGTTGCTTAGAAGCCCAGTGCCACACTGCCGCCAGACGTACCTGCTGTCTCTGAGTTAGAATCAGTTCGTTCTGCTCCTGGATTCTCTGCCCTAGCTCTTCTATCCTTTTCTTGTAGAAAACATTGCTTGCATTTAGATCATCTATCTTTGAGGTTCGAAGTTTCTCTATATGTGACATGAGCTGAAAAAAAGTTAAGAAAGGCATTCATCTGTAAGCTGCATGTGCAATACCTTCATTCTGCAGATTTCAAGTATGTGCCCTGCCTGTTTTGCTGGCCTGATGCTATCCATACACATCAAGTAATTGAATAAATATTTGATCATAGCATATCCTAGCCCTGGTTGCTCTAGGTGCTTCAACTGTATTCCCGAGGCAGCTCATGACCGCAAACAGACAACACTGACTGATTATGGGAGCAGCTGATCCAACTAGAGCACATAACATGAAATAACACATGATGAGCAATGATAAAGGAGTCAGGCTTCTCCTGCAGAGTGGCTCTGATCCTCCATACTAAATTTCTGCTGCAGTCCTGTCCTTCACATACCCACATGGGCCATCCTAGGCCAGAGAGCACATGTTTTTTTTTTTTTTTGAGACGGAGTTTCGCTCTTGTTATCCAGGCTGGAGTGCAATGGCGCGATCTCGGCTCACCGCAACCTCCGCCTCCTGAGTTCAGGCAATTCTCCTGCCTCAGCCTCCCGAGTAGCTGGGATTACAGGCATGCCCCACCATGCCCAGCTGATTTTTTGTATTTTTTAATAGAGACGGGGTTTCACCATGTTGACCAGGATGGTCTCGATCTCTTGACCTTGTGATCCACCCGCCTCGGCCTCCCAAAGTGCTGGGATTACAGGCTTGAGCCACCACGCCCCGCCCAAAGAGCACATCTTAATTTACTTGTTTTTTTTTTTTTTTTTGAGACAGAGTCTCACTCTGTCACCCAGGCTGGAGTGCAGTGGAATGACCTCGGCTCACTGCCGCCTCTGCCTCCTAGGATCAAGCAATTCTCCTGTCTCAGCCTCCTGAGTAGCTGGGCTTACAGGCACCCACCACCTCATCTGGCTAATTTTTGTATTTTTAGTAGAGACGGGGTTTCACCGTGTTGGCCAGGCTGGTCTCGAACTCCTGACATCAGATGATCTGTACTCATCAAACTCCCAAAGTGTTGGGATTACAGGCGTGAGCCACTGTGCCTGGCCAAATCTTAATTATTTTATATTCCCAGAAACTAGCACAATCCCTGGCCCTCAGCAAGTTCTCAATAAATGTTTACTGAGAAAAAGAAGGGGCATGGTGGGGATTAGAGGGGAAGAGGGAGGAAGGAGAAGAGGAAAAGAAGCAGGGAGGGAAAGAAAGGGAGAGATGCAGAGGGCAGAGGTACAGAGACACACAGATTATATTCATCCTCAGAGATAATGTCAGGGAAGAGCATAGACTGGACAAAAAGAATTCAGGAAGAATTCGTTTTCAATAATTGAAGGAAAGGCGCTTAAAGCAATTTTAGTAGTTATTTAAACAGAGAGGGTTAAAAAAAAGGAGGGGGAGGTCTTGAGGCCAGGCCAGGGATTACATGCCTGTAATCCCAGCACTTTACGATGCCAAGGCAGGCAGATCCCTTGAGGTTAGGAGTTCAAGGCCATGCTGGCCAACATGGCAAAACTCCATCTCTACTAAAAACACAAAAATTAACCAGGTGTGGTGATGGTTGCCTTAATCCCAGCTACTTGGGAGGCTGAGGCAGGAGAATTTTTGAACCCAGGAGGTAGAGGCTGCAGTGAACCAAGATCATGTCATTGCACTCCAGCTTGGGTGACAGAGTGAGACTCGGTCTCAAAAAAAAAAAAAAAAAAAAAAAGGCTTCATAACTGGGGTGAAGGACACTCCAAGTCTAAGGCCTGGAAGTGGTGACCAGGTATGCAGATCAAATAATGAGTAGGAAGTATCTGTGCCTGAGATGAGCATATCAGGACACCTAGGCCCGCATTTCCTCATTTGCTCGCTTTTAGCAAATTAACACTCACTATGTACTAGATGCAGTTCATTTTGTTGAATCCACACCACATTGTTATGGATACGTGTTTTGGCCCCATTGTACAGATAGGAAAACTCAAGTCTAGAAAGGTAAAGTCACCAGCCCTAACTGAGACAGCCAAAAGGGGGCAGAGCCCAGACTTAAACTTTCACATGCAAGTTTCAAAGTTGGTTCTCTTTTGAGAGCCAAGGAGGGAGAATTGCTGGAGCCCAGGATTTGGAGGTCAGCCTGGGCTACATAGTAAGACCCTGTCTCTACAAAAAAGTTTAAAAAATTTGCTAGGTGTGGTGGGGTGAGCCTGTAGTCCCAATTCCTCAGGAGGCTGAGGTGGGAGGGTTGCTTGAGTCCAGGAGGTTGGGGCTGCAGTGAGCTATGCTCATGCCACTGCACTCTGACCTGGGCAACAGAGTAAAACCTTATCTTAAAAAAAAAAAAAGAAAGGGGGCAGTGTCTTAGCATCCTGCACAGTCTTGCCTCTGAAATGCTCCGTGCTCCTGAGACTGAATAAACACTGGGTTGAACCAATCTAGAAGGATTTTCCGAGTGAAACCTACAAAGAATTTTTCCTATCCTAGTGGATACTAAGAACCTCCCCCAAGGAGGGCATTGTCAAGAGCTTTCCATACATCTTTACAGGTTCCTGGAAAAGTGGCCTCCAAAGCAGTCTGGGAAACATTGAGCTAAAAAACAGAAGGAAAAGCCAGTAAAATTGTCCAGGCTGCCGGACGGAAGTTTAGGATCTTGGCCCTGATCAGCTACATGGGGAGCTCTTCCAGGCCCCAGGAAGAAAGGAAGTGTGGGAAAGTCTGAGAGATGACATCATTTTTAATATAGGGGTTAAGAATGCATCAGAAAGATACAGGAAAACGTTCACTGAAAGAGGAATGGAGACAGTCTAGGCAAGACGTAGCCAGAAATTATTTTGAAGTTTGCGGCTCATGAGCCCATTTCCTGTGATCCCATTTGAAGCTCTATGCATTTTTCCCTACCGGTCCACATCACCCCATCCTCCCTTCCTTCATTATGTGACCATTTGACAATCTCCCAAGCTCTCCAGAGTCTTCTGTTGGGTAAAAAGGGCAAGCCATTGCTTATCTGTGACTGCCTCTGAACTCTTACCAATGTTATTTAAAACAAAAAAATGTGCCAAGAATCTAGGTAAAGCAATAGAAAGTTGGCAAATGCAACTTCCCCTAAACAGAGAAATACAATATGTGCATTGTGGGAACAGCAGGCACCAATCATGTGGAATAATTAATAGTTAGGTCTCAGGCAGAGATTACTAAACCTGATTGAATTCACCCCTCTGTTAGGGTTTAAGAGAAAAGAAGGGAGAGGTAAGCAGCTTCTAAACAAGCCAAACCAACAGATGAGGAAGGACTGCAGCCTAGTGGAGGCACAAATCCCCCCACAGACACAGTACGTGAGGCGTGCACCTCACTCAGAACCAGGAAAGGCCTCACCTTCTTCCTCCGTGACAACAGTCAGTCTTTCTCTCTATCACAACTTGACAAATTGTAAAAACTGCAACTTGCGTTCTATTCCAGCCAAACGGTCACTGAAATTCCCACACCTGCCTGAAACACACTTTAAAGCAGCTAGGATTTTAAAATCCCCCCACTATTAATAAAGAAACCTGAATTCTGTCCCTAAATACCAACACTAGAAAGATGACTTCAAGAATAAGAGTAGGGATTTTAATGATCTAAGAGCAGTGGTTCAAATCATAGATCCCAAACAGAATAGCCTGGGTGGCTTTTAGTTTAGTTTTGTTTTTCCCAAAATCCACAGTCCCAAACTTGCCTACTAAATCATGATCTCAGGGAGTGGAGCTGGCCACATGTACTTTGGAAAAGAGTTTCAGGTAATTCTGAAGTGTATCCCTTCACTTCGTCAGAACATCCGAAGAAAAGATCCTGCATCCTTACAGAAAAGCAAGCACTCGAAGCTGTCACTGCTTGTTTCTCTTCCCGGCTGGGAGCTTGACAGGTGAGTGCCTGGAGCTAGACATGCGAGCCAGTGTGGCATGGCCTGGAGTACACAGGGCCTGCGTTCAAATATCAGTGACCTTGGGCAGGACAGCATCTGTCTAAGCCTCTGTTTCCTCACCTGTAAAATGGGTGACAGCACCTACCTCATAGAACTCTTAGAAGGATTAAGTATATGGCAACTACAAAAATCCACTTATTTCTAAATGTTCCCATGAAACCAGTGGTGTGCTGATTAATCAGCTTTCAAAAAAAAAAAAAAAAAAAAAAAAACACACCCTGATGAGGAGACATGTGCACAGCTGAGAGCCAGTATGAGTCAGCTCCAGGACACCAGGACATGAACCGTAAGAACAGGCAGAACTTTCGCTTCCGTGTAACACAGACGGACAAAGGAGCACACTCCTTGCACAGTGGAGCCACCTGTGGTGCAGAGAAACTACTGTCCACTGCTCCTGGGATCCTACATCTTAGCTGCCATAGATAAAATACGCTGGGAGGTGAACGCCATCGTCCTAACTAGTGTCCTCCCTACAGCAGACGGTGCTTAGACCTCCAGACAATTCTGGCAACCCTGCTCTTCTGAAACCTACAATCAGCCTTTCTCCATCTATGAAAACAAGGCTGAATGATGCCCTCGCGAGACATCCAGCTACCTTCCACATTCATTCTGCAAGTGTGTGGTGAGTGCCAACCACATTTCAGGCACATGAGTGGATGCTGGGAAGACAATGGAGAGCTAAATAGATGGAGCCCTTCACTGAGAGGACTGATGGTGTGATTGGAGAGACAGACAATAAACAAGTAAACAAATAAGCAAGTAAACTATTTAAAATAGTGCTCAAGCTCTGGTTGAGATGTGATGGGAATAATAAAGAAAACGGACTACTACTTGGATGGAGTGACATCAGGTGACCAGGGCCCAGAGGCCAGAGGCGGTGGGGTAAGCAGGGTTCTCAGGGGGCCCTCAAGGTTGTACGCCTGGTGTACATGCCCTGTGTGATGCTGTCCCCTCGTCTGAAGAGAACCTATGCTGTGCTTCTGAACCACAGAATATGACAAAGGGGAAGGGACTTTGGAGACGCAATTGCAGTCTCAAATCTTCAGACTTTGAGCTTATGAAAAGGAAGATTATCTTGTGTGAGTCTGCCTTATTCAAGGTGAACCCCTTAAAAGAAATTCCAGGCCGGGTACAGTAGCTCATGCTGGCAATCACAGTATTTTGGGAGGTCAAGGCAGGCGGATCACCTGAGGTCAGGAGTTTGAGATCAGCCAGGACAACATGGTGAAACTCTACTAAAAATACAAAAATTAGCCAGGCATGGTAGCAGATGCCTGTAATTCCAGCTACTCAGGAGGCTGAGGCAGGAGAATTATTTGAACCCAGGAAGCAGAGGTTGCAGTGAGCTGAGATGGCATCACTGCACTCCAGCCTGGGCAACAGAGTGAGACTCTGTCTCACCAAAAGAAGAAGAAAGGAGGAAGAAGAGGAGGAGGAAGAGGAGGAGGAGGAGGAGGAGGAGGAGGTGGCGGCGGCGGCGTCTTCATCATGAAGCCATTAAAAGTCATGATTTTGAAAAATACTTTAAAACTTAGGAAAGGTCTATGGTATATTAAGTGAAAAGCACACAAACCTATAAAACATAATTCAAATGTTATAAAACTATATACATATGGGGTTCTCCACTTATAGAAATGCATAGAAAGAAAATTGAAATAAATTAGAAGAAAGTAGTAGCAGTGGTTATCTTTGGTGTTAGAATTATAGGTAATTTTAATTTTGCTACACATTTCTCCCCAAATGTCATTAAGTGGACAAATATCACATTTATAAAAAATAAAAGCAAATATTCCTTTAAAAAATGGTCCACTTTGGCCGGGTGCGGTGGCTCAAGCCTGTAATCCCAGCACTTTGGAAGGCTGAGGCGGGCGGATCACGAGGTCAAGAGATGGAGACCATCCTGGCCAACATGGTGAAACCCCATCTCTACTAAAAATACAAAAATTAGCTGGGCGTGGTGGTGTGCGCCTGTAGTCCCAGCTACTCGGGAGGCTGAGGCAGGAAAATTGCTTGAAGCCGGGAGGCGGAGGTTGCAGTGAGCCGAGATTGTGTCACTGCACTCCAGCCTGGCACCTGGCGACAGAGTGAGACTCTGTCTCAAAAAAAAACAAAAAATGGGCCACTTTAGACTTACCCGACCCTTCTCTTTCTTGTGTTCTTGATGAATAGCTTGAACTCGTGCTGTCCACTTGCTTTCCTACAAAAGAGTTAAACAATAATTTATGTGCAACTGTAACAATGAGATCTATGCAATATGAAGCTTTCTTTCTAGTGAGTACCTGTGAAATCCAACTATCTATCTAGTACAATTTTAGCTGGTGATAGTTTAGCTCTCTATCCCCATTCAAATCTCATGTGTTGGAGGAGGGGCCTAGTAGGAGATGATTGAATCATGATAGTGAGTGAGTTCTCACAAAATCTGGTTGTTTAAAGGTATTTAGCCCTTCCCCCTTCGCTCTCTCTTTCTCTCCTGCTCCACCATTGTAAGACGTGCTTGCTTCCCCTTCTCCCTTCCACCATGATTGTAAGTTTCCTGAGGCCTCTCCAGCCATGCCTCCTGTACAGCCTGTGGAACTGTGAGTCAATTAAGCCTCTTTTCTTTATGAATTACCCAGTCTTAGGTAGTTCTTTATAGCAGTGTGAGAACAGACTAATACAGCTGGTATTTTTTAAGGACATATATACAGTCAAAAATGCTTAAATACATTTGCGTCTGGTTTTAATCTTATACTATAAGGCAGGAGGAGGAGGAGGAGGAGGAGGAGGAGGAGGGGTCAGCAAACATTTTCTGGTAAGAAGCTAGTAGTAAATATCATAGGCTCTGGGGGGGCCAGATAACTTGGTTACAACACAACACAATACAGCTGTGTCATCCCACAACTGCACTGGGACAACCCATGGATAAGATGTAAGTGAACTAGCACGCATAAAATGTTACTGAGACATAGCCAGTAACACTTTATTTACAAAAGTAGGTACTAGTTTGCCAACCTAAGAGGACAAAAGGAAACACCAGGGTTTCTGAAGCCATGGGTTCTGAAATGACAACACAACTCACAGGACAGAAACAGAAGAAATTTAGATGGGAACTTAGGATTTTATAACCACGTCCTTCAGCTCATAAGCGACAAGCTGTGGTCTCCAGCCTGCTGGAAGCAACTGTCAACAGTTCAGTTCAGGACACAGCTCCTGGTCTCCTACCTTATACCAGGCACCTCACTGCGCAGCCACTGGCAGGTTAAGAGGATGAAGAGACAGGTTCTGCTCTGCACTGGAGGCAAGGGGATGCAACCCAATATAATGTGCGTGATCAGGTCCCACTTAGGGACTACAGAAATGCTGTAGCCTAGAGGCTCAGGAGAACTTTCTGAAAGAGGTGCTTGCCCCGCTAGCTGAATATTAAAGAATGAGTAAAAGACAGGTCCTGGAAACTAGGGGCTGCAGGACAGGCAGGAAAGCAGCCAGAACTGAGGAAGAAGACAGAAGGCCACGTTCTCGGAGGCATGGGCTACTGGGCCACTGGAGTGTCAGGAAAGCAAAGAACAGAGGGAGATGGTCCAGAGTCCAGAATCTGAAGCACTCTGTGTGCTGGTGGGAAGTTCAGAATAAGGGACACTGAAGGACTTAAGACAGGACGGGGACACAGTCAGCCTGATGGCAGTGGAGCAGGTAGATTTGGGTTGAGGAGGCAAGACGTGAGCATTGAAACAAGAAGCAGTGGTCCCTATTTCCAAAGTCCACTTACCTTTTTAAGAATGGCCCAGGCGTTTACCAAAAAATCCTGAATTTGTAAGCTCTGAGCTCTATTTGCTTCCTGGTTTTAAAAAACTGTTCCCCTAAACCCCTGTGACCAAAATAGCCATGGTGAAGATTGTGCTGATTACAGAGGTTCACTTCCAAATGGAAGTGATTATGTTTGATAAGTGTAAGAGATCATCAGTTGGCCAGTTAGCAGTGTGTGTGTGTGTGTGTGTGTGTGTGTGTGTGTGTGTGTGTGTATTTTTTTTTTCTTTTTTAATTAAAAAAAATTTTTTGGAGACAGAGTTTTGCTTTTGTTGCCCAGGCTGGAGTGTAATGGCACGATCTTGGCTCACTGCAACCTCCGCCTCCCGGGTTCAAGCAATTCTCCTGCCTCAGCCTTCCGAGTAGCTGGGATTAGAGGTGCACGCCACCACTCCCAGCTAACTGGGCCAAGGTGGGTGGATCACTTGAGGTCACGAGTTCTAGACCAGCCAGGCCAACATGGTGAAACTTTGTTTCTGCTAAAAATACAGTTAGCAGTATATTTAAGCTCTAAAATAAAATCTGGTGCTTCAATATGCCCTTCTACGGGTTTTGAAATTGAGAGCTACATCTAAAAGATGAAAAATCAATAGTGAGGTTATACTAACCAATTCAAATTGATTTTATGGAGGGAAGAAACTGTTGTGTATGCTATTCGCCAACAGCAAGCATGTAACAAACACCTCTTAGGGCTTAGGCATGTAGGAGACAAAGAAAAGACATAGTCACCTTCATGGTTACTGAACAAGACAAACACTTTTTCTGCACATGACACTTACTGTACATTACTTCACTAAGAAAAAGGAAGACATCCATGGCAGCTGCCACCCGCTTGCACATACCTGACTATCAAGGAGCTGCATGACATTCTGGAAATCCTGGGGATATGGAGAACGGTCTTCTTTAAACTCGTGTGCATCTTTTAATGTGCCTATGTTGGACTTGATTTGCATATTGGACTTCTGGATTTCCGACAGTTGCTGTAAGATAAAATTCAAGCTTAGTACTACAGAGTACTACAGTTGGACTTTTTAAGACTGAAACAGAAAATACAATCAGGGAGCACTGGAGGTGTTTAAAGTCTGACTGCCCTCTTGAATGCTCCTGGTGCTTCTCCCACTTCTGCTTCTCTGTGGTTTTACTGGTTTGTTTCTACTGCTTGCTGATCTTCCCATCAGAATGCATACAGGGTGAAAAAAGGGGAGGGAAAATCTGACTTTCTAATCTTAAACGAGTCTTTTTAAAATATTTTTGAGACAGAGTTTTCATTCTGTCGCCCAGGCCAGAGTGCAGTGACGTGATCATGGCTCACTGCAGCCTCAACCCTTTGGGTTCGAGCCATCCTTCCACCTCAGCCTCCCCGGTAGCTGGGACTACAGGCATGCACCACCACACCCGGCTAATTTTTTGTAGAGACAGGGTTTTGCCATGTTGCCCAAGCTGGTCTCAAACTCCTGGGCTCATGTAGCAACCTGCCTACGTCGGCCTCCCAAAGTGCTGGGATTACAGTCGTGAGCCACCAGGTCCAGCAGGGTGTTGCAGTTTTTGATGGGCACTTAATAGGTGCCAGAAACAGAAGAAATAAATGCACCCAGTTCTTAAGCTAGTTTAGTGAGAGGCTAACACTATCCAGGGACCACATCAGTAAATCCATTAGGGACACAACGTTTTAATTTTACCCTTTTCTTTTGATGTTACTCCCAATGTTACTCATGGCAAAAACTCTCAGAAAACCACAGAAGGTAACATTTTAATTTCAAAAACAAAAGGATGGGAGAGTGCACTTCTCCATGCCTCAGTGTAGGTTGCTTATAGTGACTTCATTTCAGAAAGGAGAGCAGGGAAAGGAGGAAGAAAGAGAAAATCTTCAGTGGAGAAACCTGACAAACACCATCTCAGCCAGGTAGCCAAGGTCAATAGCAACAGTTATAAATCACGCGCAAGGTCTCAGACAAAACATTCAGCTCTACACCTCCTGCACAGAAATGCCATAGACATAGAGTAAATTACCAAACATGGCTGTGTTTCTATAAAACTTGACTCATGACACCGAAATGTGAACTTTAATGACATTTTTCTGTCACAAATTAGTGACTTTTTTCCCAACATTTTAAAAATGTGAAAACTGGCTGAGCATAGTGGCTCACACCTGTAATTCCAACACTTTGGGAGGCGCAAGTGGGAGGAACACTTGAGGCCAGGAGTTCGAGACCATCCTTGCCAATATGGTGAAAGTGGCTCTACTAAAAATACAAAAATTAGCCAGGTGTGGTGGCACGTGCCTATAACCCCAGCTACTCTGGCTGAGGCATGAGAATCACTTGAACCCAGGAGGCAGAGGTTGCAGTTAGCCAAGATCATGCCACTGCACTCCAGACTGGGAGGAGACAGCTGGATTCTGTCTCAAAAAAAAAAAAAAAAAAAAAGTAAAACTAGTCTTAGGTCACAGGCCAATCAAAAACAGGTGGTATGCTGGACTTGGTTCATGGCTGTAGTTCGCCAACCCCCACATTGGAGTTTAAAGAGTTTTAGGAAAGACTTCCCGTGAATTCCAAAAGTATTTCTCTATTTTCCTGTGAATTCCAAAAGTATTTCTCTATTTCTCTATTTTAAAACTTATTGGCCCCTAGAGGGAGCTCAAGGACCTTCACTCCGCTCCCTTTCTTTCTTCCTTTTCCCAAAGAAGACTCAGATCAAATCTAACCAGGAAGCTTAGAATTCTCAGCAGGGAGGCAGGAGAATTGCCTGAACCCAGGAGGCGGAGGTTGCGGTGAGCCGAGATCGTGCCATTGCACTCCAGCCTGGGTAACAAGAGCGAAACTCCGTCTCAAAAAAAAAAAAAAAAAAAAAAAAGAATTCTCAGCAGGAGGACACCGATTGATTGGCTGCTTTCTAAAGAGGCAGCTCAGGTATCATCTATGCATGAAGCCAGGGTAATAAGGACCAGGGCTGTTCCTATAGCGGAGACAGGGGCTCATTTAGCTATAAATTGCTTGCTTTGGAGACCACAACCAGGCCTGGGTTGAGGAGGGGGCCTGGCAAAGGTTCTTACTCAGTCTTTCTGAGTGCTTCCTTCCCCCCACCCCCCACCCCCACAACACACACACACAGGACAGTGGAAAGTTCCAAAACTCAGGGAGGGGTTTTCAGTTCAAGGCTAACCTAACCAGATAGAAAAGAGGGACCTGATTCATAGAAGAGGGTCTTCTATATCTCACCGTGAGTGTTCTGCACTGGAGTTTAAGGCCAAAGCTCCCATTCTCAGCAAAACATCTCTGACTTGCTCTGTCTCCTCTATGCCTCCCTGAAGACTCTCAGGAAGAAGAATGTCTGCACAGGGTACCGTAAAGTAACTCCTGGATCCCCTGGCCTTAATGCCATCCTAACACCACCTCTCAAGGCAATCAATACCATAAGAACGTCTAGGTTTAATACTTACGTATTCTAATGCTGAATTCTTCGAAGTTAATTCTTTAAATTGCTTCATAAACATCTCCTTGACTTTTTCCATTTCATCAACTAGTTTCTCTTTTTCTTCTTCTTTCCACCTATCAAATAACTTCAAAAAGTCTTCCTCTTTTGTTTTCTGCATTTCATATTCCTGAAATTATTTTAATACACAGGTTTAAAAGTTCTGATCTGAAGAAAATAAGCAATATTTAAAATAAAAGTTCATAGCATCACTTCAAAAATGTTAGCTAGTATTGCTAATTTCAGTCAGGCTTGTAATAAATATTTCCTATCGCCGGGCGCGGTGGCTCAAGCCTGTAATCCCAGCACTTTGGGAGGCTGAGGCGGGTGGATCACGAGGTCGAGAGATCGAGACCATCCTGGTCAACATGGTGAAACCCCGTCTCTACTAAAAGTGCAAAAAATTAGTTGGGCACGGTGGCGCGCGCCTGTAATCCCAGCTACTCAGGAGGCTGAGGCAGGAGAATTGCCTGAGCCCAGGAGGCGGAGGTTGCGGTGAGCCGAGATCGCGCCATTGCACTCCAGCCTGGGTAACAAGGGCGAAACTCCGTCTCAAAAAATAAATAAATAAATAAATAAATAAATAAATAAATAAATATTTCCTATCATGGCAAGTCTGTATACAATGGTTTTTCTAAAGGCAGCACACAGAATCCTCTTGTCCTTATATCCCTTAAAATACCAATGCAGAGGCCCAAGGCCTTCGGCTTTTTGTGTTCTGTGAACTTGTATAAAAGTCATGCCATAATAGAGAAAATGTAAATATACTTTAAAGAAAACATATATTGAACAATAAAAGAAAATTTCTTGGCACCATAACAATGTGGGTAGCGTAGCTCCATCCCACCCCCCAAAAATACAAATTCAGATTTATAGGAGCTAGAGTCAAGGTCAGCACTTGATTTCTCAATGATCTTCAGGGTTTTTAAAATCTAAATTGAGAGCTTGAACAACGCTATAAGCCAACTAGCCCTAACAAACATATACAGAATTCTGTACCCAACAATGGCAGAATATGCATTCTTCTTAAATTCACATGGAATATTCATGAGGAGGACCTGTTTTTAGTCCATAAAGTGTTTCTCAGATTTAAAATGACTAAAATCATGATCACAATAGAGTGAAGCCAGAAATCAGTAACAGAAGGGAACTGGAAAATTAGCAAATACGTGGAAATTAAACAACATACTCTTAAACAACCAGTGGGTTAAAGAAAAACTCCCTAGAGAAATTGGAAGATACTGTGAGGTTAATGAAAATGAAAACACAGCATGCCAAAATGCATGAGATGCAGCCAAATCAGTGCTTGGAAAGAAATTTATAGCTGTAAGAGCCTACATTTAAAAAGAAGAAAGGGCCAGGTATGGTGCCTCATGCCTATTATTCCAACACTTTGGAAGGCCACAGTAAGGGAATCGCTTGACCTCAGGAGTTTGAGACCATCCCTGGGAAACACTATGAGACCTCATCTCTAACACAAATTAAAAAACAAAATTAGCCAGGCATGGTGGTATGTGTCTGTAATCCCAGCTGCTGAGGAGGCTAAGGTGGGAGGACCACCTGGACCTGGGAGGTCAAAGCTGCAGTGAGCTGTAAGTGTGCCACTGCACTCCAGCCTGGACAACAAAGAGAGATTCTATTTCCAAAAAACAAATAAAAAAGAAGAAGAAAAAGTTAAGTAAATAACCTAGCTAGAAAAAAATGAGCAAACCAAACTCAAAGGCAGCAGAAAGAAAAAAAATAATGAAAATTAGAGCAAAGCTAAAGCAAAGAATAGGAAAGCAACAGAGAGAATAAATGAAGCCCAAAATTTGGTTCTTTGCAAAGATCAACAAAACTGACAAACTTTTAGCTACCCTGACTAAGAAGTGAAAGTGAGGACGTGACTACCAATCTTAGAGAAATTAAAAAGATTAAAAGGAGATGTAATGAACAATCGTACACCAATAAATTAGATAAGCTAGCTGAATGGACAAATTCCTAGAAACACACAAATTACCAGACTGACCCAAGACAAAGGAAATTTCAATAGACTTTCAATAAATAAAGAGAGAGAGTTAGTAATCAAAACCTCCTAAAAAGGAAAAGTCCAAGAAAAGATGAGATGGCTTTACTAGTGAATTCTACCAACTATTTAAAGAAAATAACATAGAATCCACAAGAAACTGTTAAAGTAATAAATTCAGCAAAGTTTCAGAGTATAAAACAAAAAACAGTTGTATTTCTATATACCAGCAACGAACAATCCAAAAAAGAAATTAAGAAAACAATTCCATTTATAATAGCATCCCAAAGAATAAAATACCTAGAAATAAATATAACCCTAAAAGGTGAAAGACCTGTACACTGAAAATTGTCCAACTTTGTTATAAAAATTAAAGAACACCTAAATAAATGGAAAGATATCCCATGAACATGGACTGGTAGATTTAATATAATAAAAGTGGCAACACTCTCCTAAGCAATCAAGAGCTTCAATATAATCCCATTCCAATAACCTTCTTTGCAGAAATGGAAAAGCCAGTCCTCAAATTTATATGGAACTATAAGAGGCCACAAATAACCAAAACAATATTAAAAAAGAAAAACAAAGTTGGACAATGAACACTTATCAATTTAAATTAGACATACAGAATAATGGAATGGAATTGAGAATCCAGAGATAAACCCAAACATCTATGATCAACTGATTTGTAACAATGGTGCTAAGAACATTCAATAGAAAAAGAATAGTCTCTTCAATAATTGGTGCTGGGACAACTGGATAAACCACATGCAAAAGTATAAAGTTGGACCTCCTCTCAATCTATATGTAAAAATTAACTCAAAATGGATCAATGCCCTAAATATAAGAGCTAAAGTAATGAAACCGTTAGCATATATAAAGAACCCATACAGCTCAACAAGAAAAAGGCAAACAACCCAATTAAAAAATGGGCAAAGGACTTGAATAGACATTTCTCCAAATAAGATATATATGAATGGAAAATAAGCATGAAGAGATGTTCAATATCATTGGTTGTTAGGGAAATACGAATCAAAACCTGATGAGATACCACTTCCCACCCACCCAATAGGATGGCTTTAATTAAGAAAACAGAAAAGTATAATAAGTGTTGGTGAGGATGTGGAGAAATATGAACATTACTGGTGAAAATGTAACATGGTACAGCTACTGTGAAAGACAGTTTGGTGGTTCCTGAGAAAGTTAGACATAAAATTACCATGTAACCCAGCAATTCCACTCCTAAGTATATAATCAAGAAAAATGAAAACATATGTCCACATAGAAACTGCCACATGAATGCTTATAGTAGCATTATTCATTATAGCCAAAAGGTGAAAATGAACCAAATGTCCATCAATGGATGACTGGATAAACAAATTGCATATACATACATACAAACAATGGACTATTATTCAGCAAGACAAAATGAAGTACTGATACATGTTACAACTTAGATGAACCTCAAGAACATTATGCTTAGTGAAAAAATCCAGACACAAAGGTCACACAATCCTTTTTTGGTATTTGGGTTTTTTTGGAGATAGGGTCTCATTCTGTAGCCAACTGGAGTGCAGTTGTGAACACAGCTCACTGCAGCCTTGACCTCCTGGACTCAAGCCATCTTACTCCTTCCTCAACCTCCTGAGTAGCTGGACCACAAGTACATGCCACCACCCTTAGCTAATTTTTAAATTTTTTGTAGAGACAGCATCTCACCATGTTTCGCAGACTGATCTAGAACTCCTGGGCTCGAGCAATCCTCCCATCTTGCCCTCCCAAAATACTGGGATAACAGTTGTGAGCCACCACACCTGGTTTGCATATTTTTTTAATGAAATATACAGAATAGGAAAATGTGTAGACATAAAAACATTCGTGGTTACCACGGGATAACTGTAGCAGGAGTGATTATTTAATGGGTACAGGTTATTTTTCTGGGGTTTTGAAAATTTTGAAACTAGAGAGATGGTGGCTGCACCTCACTGTGAATACACTAAATGCTACTGAACTGCACACTGTAAAATGGTCAGTTATCTAAAGGAGATATTGGTACACCATTGTTCATTCACAGCAGCACCAGTCATAACAGTTAAGAAGTGGACGCAACCCAAGTGTGCAACAACAGACGAATGAATAAGCAAAATGTGGTATATATACATATACCATGAACTATTATTCAGCCTGAAAAAGGAAGGAAATTCTGACACACGCTACAACACAGATAAACTTGAGGATGTTATGCTGAGTAACATAAGCCAATGATGACAAAAAGGTAAATACTCTTATGATTTCATTTACATGAGGTATCTAGAGCAGGCAAAATCATAGGGATGAAAAGTGGCTGGAAGGAGGTGGGAGTAGAGCACTGTTATTTAATGGGTAGAGTTTCAGTTTTTCAGTATAAAAATGTTCTGGAGATTGGCTGCATAACAATGTGAATATACTCATCACTACTGAAATGTAAACTTAAAATGGTTAAAAGGATACTATGTTATATGTACACTACCACAATTTAAAAAGAGTGAGTGAGAGCGAGCCCATGTGGAAGACAGAGGGCTCTATCAATTATTCTGTGAAATGATTGCTGTTTCTCCTAGAAAGTCACCATCGTGTCCCCATGGGAGAAACAAGGAAGAGCTGAGCACACTGTCACTCCAACAGTGACAAGGAAAGAAATGCTCTTTGGTGGCCTTACTCCTCCATTAAGTATATCAAGGTCAACCCTCTGTTGGATCAACTGTGGCATATGTGGTACCCACGGTGTACCCACAGGGACCCACGGAAGTCAGAGCCCAATGCATCATGGCCCTGTTTCCCCTTGGGCCCTCCATCACCCCAGTTATCTGTGAATGAGTCATTACAAGCACCCAACGGGCTGACACATGGGTCACACAGATGAGAAAAAAGAAAAAAGGAAACAGATTAGAAGTATGAAGGGGACTCAACCCACTATTGGTGGCTTTGAATATGGATGAAGAGGGCCAGGAGCCCAAGAGTATGGGCAGCCTCACAGGAAATAATGAGCAGCCCTCCCTCAATGAACAGCTTGGAAGAAAGTGTAGAACTCTGGCCTACTCCTGCCAGGAACTGAACTCTGCCAACAACCAAGTAAGCAGGAAATACTCTGTTCTATGGCCTCTACCAAGGCACATGGTCCTCCTGACAATTTGACTGTAGCCCAGTGAGATGTGAGAAGTGTCAGATTTATTTTAACCAAATTTTAGAAAGTTAATTGTGTCTTACATGAATTCCACCTCAATTTTCTAAAAGGCTTTCAAAAAATAGAGAACGAGGCTGGGCATGGTGGCTCATGCCTGTAATCCCAGCACTTTGGGAGATCGAGGCGGGTAGATCATGAGGTCAGGAGTTTGAAACCAGCCTGACCAACATGGTGAAACCTTGTCTCTACTAAAAATACAAAAATTAGCTGGTCACGGTGGCACTTTGCTATAATCCCAGCTACTTGGGAGGCTGAAGCAGAAGAATTGCTTGAACCAAGACCCAGGAGGTGGAGGATGCGGTGAGCTGAAGTCATGCCACTGCACTCCAGCCTGGGCTACAGAGCGATACTCCATTTCAAAAAGAGAGAGAGAGAGAGAGAGAGAGAGAGAGAGAGAGAGAGAGAACTGTATTTCCAGTGATGTGCTTTGTAGTAAGATACTAAAGAGTAGATTGGCAATAAGAAATACAATCATCTTGTCAAGTTCTACAGACTCTTTTTTTTTTTTTTTTTTGTGACGGAGTTTCGCCCTTGTTACCCAGGCTGGAGTGCAATGGCGCGATCTCGGCTCACCGCAACCTCCGCCTCCTGGGCTCAGGCAATTCTCCTGCCTCAGCCTCCTGAGTAGCTGGGATTACAGGCACGTGCCACCATGCCCAGCTAATTTTTTGCACTTTTAGTAGAGACGGGGTTTCACCATGTTGACCAGGATGGTCTCGATCTCTCGACCTCGTGATCCACCCGCCTCGGCCTCCCAAAGTGCTGGGATTACAGGCTTGAGCCACCGCGCCCGGCCAAGTTCTACAGACTCTTAAGTGTCCTCTGTTTATTAGAGTCCATGGCATAATTGAATTACATACAGTTAATTGTAATTAAAACACCACAGAATTCTGCCTTGTACCTTGGAGAATCTAGCTGCGCTGGCATGGTGTGCAGCCTCTAGCTCAGACCTGGTGAGTTGCAGCTCTTCCTTCAATACGACAATCTCACTCCGGAGCTTCTCAATCTGTGCGTTTTTCTGAGACTCTGTTGGAACAGAAAATTGTGTTAAAACACCATCTCTTATGAAACATACCTGGAAACTTATGGGGTACAGTCCTATTGATAAGACAAAGGAAACTGCTCTCTTACTTGGGATACGATTACTTGTTTCATGCCACATGAACAAATTTTTGCTCTGTGGAATTTATTTGGAGCCCTCTGTATTTTGGGGCATTGAATTATTTTTAGCAGATTCTTTCAGGGAGCAGTAATGGTAACAAGGGATAATACAGGGTGCTTTGACCCAGTAGCACTCTGGACTTAGAGGTGCCTGTCTCAATCAGAGAAGGCAAGCAATGGCTTCCTCTGCAGGAAACACCATACTGAAGTCTCTGGTTGCCATTCTTCAGGCTCCCACCGAACTCTCCTGAGGACTCCGTCAGTGCTAATACAAGCAGAGGGCTGGGGGTGCATTCAAAATGCAAACTTGGGCCATAGCCTATCAACTGGGGTAGAAGTGAGGTACTGAAAAGTTGTAAAAGGAAGCAACAAGTGAAGGGAAGAATACTTATGTACATGTACTTACATGCAGGTAGATGTACACATGACTGAATGGATGTACATGTGTCTGTGAGTGTAGACATGAAAGGTATGGAAACCAAAGTAGAAAGTCAGAATCTCAAAGATGACCTGAAGAAATAATACTCGTTTCAGAGTCTGAAACCCTCTCTGAAACGAGTATAAGTTAGAAAAAGATACTGAAACAGAAGAGAAAGAAGGTCAGTTTCACGCTAAAGAATGGTAGATTAATTGAAATAGTTCATCTTTCCAATATACTGCTAAGTTGTATCAATGGTCCAAGACTTATTAATGAGATTATTATGCTGTTAAGTTTGTTTCTACAAAGCTTAGCTATTTCCTAAATAATCTAGTTAACTAAAATGGGCAGAAATGGAAACAGCCTGGCCCAAAATGGAGGGAAATGCAGGTAATTGAGTAAATAAGCCAAGCACACACGTCTAGATACTGAGAACATTTAAGATCAGAATGAGGTCAGGCACAGTGGCTCACACCTGTAATCCCAGCTCTTTGAGAGGCCAAAGCAGATGGATTAGTTGAGGTCAGGAGTTCGAGACCAGCCTGGGTAACATAGCAAAACCCCGTCTCTACTAAAAAAAAAAAAAAAAAAAAAAAAAAAAAACTACAAAAATTAGCCAGGCATGGTGGTGGGCACCTGTAGGCCCAACTACTTGAGAGGCTGAGGCAAGAGAATCACTTGAACCCAGGAGGTGGAGGTTGCAGTGAACTAAGATGATACCACTGCACTCCCACCCATCTCAAAAGAAGTGAAAGATCAGAATGAGAATTTCTGTGGGTTAGTGTGGCAATCTGCGGGAAGCTTTGATCTGCCCATGGAGAAAGAGGCTTTACATTCTTTGCTTTTGAGAACACTTCAATGGTAGGAAACCTGGCTCCTTGGTAACACTCAGAGTCCCCTCCCCTCTCTTGCGTCTTCATTTTGCATACCATCTATATTGTTGGTGGTACACACCCAAACGTATCTTAGTATCTCCCACATCAAATGAAACAAAAATTGCCCCTCGGTCTCACATTTCTGTCCAGATGAAGCCTCATGTCTCTGCTCTCCTTCCCAGTAAGCATTATTGAAACCAATATCTGGATACAGTAGGACCACTCCCTCACGATTCTCAGCTCAGCTAAATCAGACTTTTGTCCCCACCTGTCTACTGAAGCTGTCACCTACAACTGTCTTGACAACAGCAGTCCATTCTCAGTCTTCATCTTACTCTGTACCTCAGGAGTATTCTATTTGACTGACCACTGCCTCCTCTGTGAAATACTTTTCCCTTGGTTTCCATGACAACATACTCCCCAAGTTTCCCTCCAGCCTTGAGAAAGCCTATTCCTCACTCTCTGCTGATGCCCTTTCTAAGCTCCTTGCATTGGGAAGACCTTGGGGCTGGCCTCACCCCTTTCTCTTCTCTATCTAGGTGACCTCAGCCAGACCAACTCTACTCCAGTGATTCCCAGATTTAAATCTCCAGCCTGGGTCTCTACCTCAAACTACAGCCCTCCAGTAACCCCACTGCCTGCAGGTCCATTGCACGTGTGATGTAAATGCACCTATGGCAAGCACAAACTCTCATACCTCTTCCTCCTGCAAACTACCCTGCGACCCAGGCCCTCCATCACAGAAAACATCACATCATTCACCCAAACATGGAGGACAGAAACTCAGGGTCGTCTGTAGGTCCTGGGTCCACAACATATCCGTTGCATCTTCACCTGCCCACCTGCCTGGGGACAAAGCTGGTCTAGGCCCCTGTCTGTCTCACCTGGGCTGCGATTGCAGCCTTCTCCCTCACTCATCCACTGCTTCCACTGTCACCCCAACAGTCTAGTCTCCATCCGCAGCTAGAAGGGCCATGCTAAGGTGCAAGTTAGATCAGGCCCCTCTCCTAACTAAATTCCTCCAGTGTCTCCCTGTTATGCATATAAAAATGTACACATTCCAGTCCATGCCTTCACAACCTCCCTTGATCAGGCCCCCAGTGCTCCAGCCTCCCCGCACACCATCACCTCGACCATTCTATTCCATTCCACCAGGCCTGCTTTTTCACAAACACAACATCCCGGCACACCTCATGCCCTTTACAGTCAGTGTTCCCTTGGACTGCAACACACTTTTCCCAGACTTTCACCCCACCTGGTGTCACTCTCTACCCCATTGTCCTGGGCTATGATCTTCATCATATTTGCCACCATTTGAAAAGAATTACTCATTTATCTGTTTAAATGTGTCTCCTGAAGCCCCCTTAGAATGCAAGACTCGAGAGAGAGAGCGGGGCTTCTCCGTTCTGCTTGTGGCTGTATCCCCAGCACGTAGTGCACTGTATGCAACTCCCGAGGGCTCCATGTTTACTTACTGAATTGACAGGGACCGTGATGCTTCTCTTAAAAGGATTGGGAAATATACTGGACCATGTCTCATTGCCAAAAGAAAAAGGGGGCAGAAAGAAAAGACCTTTGAAACAGAGCTCGTTACTTACCAAAACGAGAATTTTCTTCAGTGTGGCGGCGTTGAATGTGACTTTGTAGGAAAGCTTGGTTCATAAAGGCCTTGTCACAAAAATGGCACTGAAAAAAAGAGAGCAGCAAATCCAAGTGTCTGTAACAAGTGTCATCCCAGTTAATTGCAATTATAATTCAGGTACCTGGTCGGACATGGTGGCTCACACCTATAATCCCAGCACTTCTGGGAGGCTGAGGCAGGCAGATCACCTGAGGTCAGGTGTTCACGATCAGCCTGGCCAACACGGTGAAACTCCACCTCTACAGAAAAATACAAAAATTCGCCTGGTATAGTGGTGTACACCAGTTGTCCCAGCTACTAAGGAGACCGAGGCAGGAGAATCACTTGAACCTGGGAGGTGGAGGCTGTAGTGAGCTGAGATTGTGCCACTGTACTCCAGCCTGGGCAACAGAGCAAGACTCCACCTCAAAAAAAAAAAAAAAAAAAAAATCAGGCCTCCCTGAAAGACTGGCAAAAGATACTGAAAGCATGACTAAAAAGAGAGACATGAGACCAGGCCAGGCACGGTGGCTCATGCCTATAATCCCAGCACTTAGGAGGCCAAAAGCGGTGGGGTGGGGAGGGGGTCACTTCAGCCAGGAGTTCAAGACCAGCCTGGGCAACATGGCCAGAGCTCATCTCTACAAAAAGCGACGATATAAGTAAATAAATAAAAATAAAACCAGGACATTCCTCCCAAACTGAACACAAGGCAGTGAAAACCATCTATTGACAGTTAAAGGAGCCCTTCTGGTGCTTTCTGGAGCCCCTGTCACTGCTCTTGTTAGACTGGCAGCTCCCATTCTCTCAACAACAACCTGCCAGTGCCACTCCAGCCACACCAGCCTTTTTCCTGTCCCGCAGGCCCACCAGTCCCAGAGTCTTTGCATCACTGTTGCCCCTGCCTGATCTTCTCCAGACCTTGCTCCCATGGCTGGCACCTTCCTGACATCCAAGATGTCATTCATCCAGCATCTTCCACACTGGTGATGATGGCATGTCCTCAAAAAGGTCCTCCCTCAAGATCCTCCTGCCAGTCTCTGTCACATCACGTTGTCTTATTTTCATCTTCATACATCTCACTGGCTAATATTTTCACTGTTTATGTGCTTCACTTGTTTATTGTCTCCTGCCCAGTCCCTCTGGGTTCTAGAACGCAGCCTCTGAGGGCAGAGACTCCAGCTTATCTATAGCTTTGTTGCCAGAGCACAACCTTAATACATGAATGAACAAAAGCTTGGAAGTATAACCTATCAAAATAAATTTTCTGAGAAAAAAGAAATCAGTTCCACCTATACTTCTGTTTTTCCACTTTAACATTGATTCAAATTTTAAGCAAAAATCCCATTTGTTTCATCTATATCCTTACCCCTGGATTACTCTGAAGTAAATCCTGGATGTTATATATTTCATTTGTAAATATTTCAGAATGTGTCTCTAAAAGAAAGATAGGAGTTGAAGAAAAATCAATATCATTATTCCACCTTATAAAATATAAAAATTAAATCCTTTTTAAAACAGATATCCAACCCTTTGGATAATTTTTAATTTTTGTTAATTTGATAATTTTCCCCATTATGTCACATATTAGAAAAAAAATTCGGTTTGTTTTGGAATAAATATTAATAACTGGATCCAAATAAGGCTCACATCCTGTAACTGATGGCTATGTGTCTTAACGCTCTTTTAGTCATAGGTTTCCCTCCACCTCTTTTATTTCTTCCTATCCTTTTGCTGAAGAGGCCGAAGCTTGTCCTACAGAGTTTCTCTCCATCTGGATTTTGCTGTTTTCATGCCCATTGTGTGTCACTGAGCATGTTCTTCTGTTCACCATACTGCCTTAGTGTAACTTTATCCACACTTCAGGCTTTTGTTTCTAAAACTAACATTCTGTATATTTCTTTTCTTTTTTTCTTTCGGATGTGTCTCCCTCCGCCACCCAGACTGGAGTCCAGCGGCACAGTCATGGCTCACTGCAGCCTTAACCTCCCAGGTTCAAGTGAGTCTCCTGCCTCAGCCTCCTGAGTAGCTGGGATTACAGGTGACTGCCACCACTAATTTTTGTATTTTTAGTAAACATGAGGTTTCACCATTTGGCCAGCCTGGTCACAAACTCTCAACCTCAAATGATCTGCCCACCTTGGCCTCCCAAAGTGCTGTAATTACAGGCGTGAGCCACTAAGCCTGGCCCACCCTGAGTTAAATCTAAGAGGTGGGTATATGGTGTGTCTTTAATTAGTCTATGCACTTTTTTGTATATTTATAATATTCTAATACTAGTTTTTATTTAAAAATCAATGAGGTTTTTCTTTTAAAATTCTCTCTATATGGGTATTCACTATATTGTCATTTTAATTTTTCTGTGTTTTAAATTTTTTAAAGTAAAATATTGAGGAAAAAGACCTTACACATTGCCATCACTACCCCCCTTATACACAACATACACACACACACACACACATACACATGCACCCCAGTGGGGAAAAAAGCCCATTAGGAGATGTGTGTGTGTCTGTGTGTTCAAGCCTTCAAGAATGGACATCTTTAATTTTTTTTTTTTATCTCAGCTACTCAGTTCTTAGGATTTCTTAAAGCAAAGAAAATGGAGACAGAAGTGGTATGAGAATGAGAATAAGACCACAATTCCTCTAAGGTCACCCTGATAATGCTGTGGACCCAATCATTGTGTCAGAACAAGGAGTCCAGGCTTTGTATTTTCTGTATTGGAGAAGAAAGAAAAACTGACATGATGGCGGACATATGAGTGTTCACATTTTGTAATATGTCAGCTTTGGCATTTGTCATGCCACAGAACATTTTCCACTCATTCCCAGGTATTAGCTAACACAGTGACAACTAACTATATGTTAAGCAGTGCTCTAAGCACAGTCCGTACACTAAGTCATTCAATCCCCATTAACAACTGCTATATGGTAGGTACAATTAATATACCCATTTCACAGAGTAGATACTGAGGCACAGGGAGGTTGAGCAACTTGCCAAGGTCTAGGTAGCTGAAAAAGTAGGAGGTGTCACTCATTTGATAAATTAAGTCATTACCTTTTAATCCTTACTTATCATTCACATTTGAAAACCTTCTCTTAGGCCGGGCAAGGTGGCTCACATTTGTAATCCCAGCACTTTGGGAGGCTGAGGCAGGTGGATCACTTGAGGTCAGGAGTTCAACACTAGCCTGGTCAAAATGGTGAAACCCCATCTCTACTAAAAATACAAAAATTAGCTGGGCCTGGTGGCACATGCATGTAGTCCCAGCTACTCGGGAGGCTGGGGTAGAAGAATCACTTGAACCCAGGAGACAGAGTCTGCAGTGAGCTGAGATTGCGCCACTGCTCTCCAGCACTCCTACCTGGACAACAGAGTAAGATTCTGTCTTAAGGAAAAAAAAAAAAAGAAAGAGAAAATTTTCTCTTATAACAGTTGTTTCTATGGTAACCCCAAAAAAGGAAAAAAAGTTTATAAACATACAATGTCTCTATGTTAGAGGTTTTAACATTTCACTAGATGACTGCTAAAGCTGGAGTATAATAAACTGTTAAACATATTAGGCTGGGTGTGGTGGCTCAAGCCTGTAATCCCAGCACTTTGGGAGGCCGAGGCGGGTGGATCACGAGGTCGAGAGATCGAGACCGTCCTGGTCAACATGGTGAAACCCCGTCTCTACTAAAAATACAAAAAATAAGCTGGGCATGGTGGCTCGTGTCTGTAATCCCAGCTACTCAGGAGGCTGAGGCAGGAGAATTGCCTGAACCCAGGAGGCGGAGGTTGCGGTGAGCCGAGATCGCGCCATTGTACTCCAGCCTGGGTAACAAGAGCGAAACTCCGCCTCAAAAAAAAAAAAAAAAAAAATTAAAATAGAATCCATTCTATTCGTTGCACAAGAAGAAAACCGTCTTAGCACTATCTGTAAATATTTAATTGTTAAGCAGCATTTATTAAACAAATAGGCAATTAGCAATGCCCAGTGTCATTTGAAGATTATAACTCAGGGTTATCTACCCAAGACCAAACACTAAGTCCTTTTAATAGTTTTTTTTTTTTTTTTTTTTTTTTTTTTTTTTTTTTTTTTGAGATGGAATCTCACTCTGTCACCAGGCTGGAGGGAGTGCAGTGGCTCAATCTTGGCTCACTACTATCTCCATCTCCTGGGATCAAGCAATTCTTCTGCCTCAGCCTCCCGAGTAGCTGGGATTACAGGCGCGTGCCACCACACCCAGCTAATTTTTGTAGTTTTAGTAGAGATGGGGTTTCACTATGTTGGCCAGGATGATATTGATCTCTTGACCTTGTGATTCACCTACCTCAGCCTCCCAAAGTGCTGAGATTACAGGCATGAGCCACCCTGCCCAGCCTCTAATAGTATTCTTTCCTAACTATTCCTCTATCTGAAGAACATTCCTGCTGGGTCAGTCCTGAGCAATATTAACTCCATCATTTTCTCTGCCCTGCACCCAGTTCTCTCCAGCATTCATGCATTGACTCCACTATTCCTAAGTCCACTGAGGCACTTTAAGCCATAGTTGGCCAAAAGGACTAGAAAGTAAGGGCATGGCATCAATGTTGTTAATCTGTTGTGTACTTCGATATCTTTCTCAGTCATTGTTTATGACTTCTGCACATCCTCCAACTAGTCAATAAAAAAAAATACATTGTTTTATGTTACACTAAAAAATACGTGGACTCAATGTCTAACCCAAAACAGTGGAAGATTAAGACCAGAAGATAAAAACATTTTATTCTTTAAATACTGTTGTTATGTAAGTGAATGTTCTTGTTCTTAGAAATATTTAGGATCTGCAACTCACTGTGAAATGGTTCAAAAGTAATAACAATATGTTCATTGAAACATCGGAACTGTGGCAAATGCTAATAATTGGGGAATCTGGATAAAGGTCATATAAAAATTCTTTACACTCTCCTGTTAACTTTTCTGTCTGTTTGAAAATACTTGAAAATTTATAAAAATGAGAAAAAGACCCTACAAATTTAAACATTCTGGATCGTTTGTGGGCTGACTTCAACGGCAATTTGTCTTTGGTTTTTTTCATGATTAGGTTGATTAGGAGGAGGAAAGAGTTTCAACAACCAGCATGTAGAATAACTTCCATAAAGCACCGCAGATGACATTTGTTGTTTAATTATTAAGCCCCTGGTCGTCTGCGGAAGGTAATGAGCCATGACATTTGTTGGTTAAAATTACTGTTTCTGCTTAAAATACTATGTCTTCTGATATACTATATACATCTTTAAGAAGAAAGAGTGGTGAACCAGGACAGACCTCTCAAATGGGACACAGCTGCCCACCTGGTAATAGTTGGCTCTGGCCTCGATCATCAGCTGCTGGGAGGCGATCATCTTCTTCCTGCGTTTGCACTCTTCCTTGAGCATCTTGATCTCCCCCGCCTGCTTGGAGAGCAGGTTCTTGCTCTGCTCGCAGTCGCAGTGGCTCAGGCGCAGCCGCTCCTCCAGGGTGTGCACCTGCGAGGTGAGGAACTCCTGTGAGTGCAGCAGGTACTCGATGGTGAACTGCGCCAGACGAATGAGCTTCAGCAGCACCGGATCCACCCCCGACTGGCAGTGCGGGCACTTCTCATCCTCCAGCTTGCAGAAGGTGATGTTCGTGATGTTCTCCTGCAGCGTCAGCACGTCCACGGCCCCCGCCACCTTGTCCACGTCGATGGCACTCAGCCGCCGCCAGTCCACACTCTCCAGCCGCGGCCTGAACTGGAAGAAGGGCAGGGGCCCCAAAGCCGAACTGGGGGGCGCACAAGCCTCGGAGGCCGCGCCGGCGGCGGCGGCGTCAGGCCCCCCTGGGCCGCTGGAGAGCCGGTAGTAGACTTGCCTCTGGAAGGGCTGCGGGGGGGCACAAAGAGAGCGCGGTGGGAGGCGGAGATGGGGGGTGGGCAGGCTGGGGAGCTGGGGGTCCAGGGGAGCCCCGGTCTTTCCCAGCCCGGCCTCCCACCTCTTACCATGCTTGCAAGCCAATCTGCCGCCGCTGCTTGCTTACGGGGAACGGGGCGGTCTCCTCTACCCAGCCCGGGCCGCCTCCCGGGCCGCCGCCGCCACAGCCCTCAGGAACGGGAGAAGGCCGGGTCCCCTGCTTCCGCGGCGGCGGCGGCGGCCTAAGGTCTGGGCGTCCAGGACGTTGCTATGGCAGCGCCCAGGTCCGGACCTGGAGCAAAGGGCGCGTTCGCCCGCGCGCGGTCAGCATGCGCCCAGGACCCTGCGGGACCAGAGAAAACCTCTTGGACGAGCCCGAGCGGACACAGCCGTCCACCCGAAGAGGGTACCTCCTGGACTCGGCTCCCCAGGGAGTTAATCACCTTCCCTGGCCTTTGGGGCTGGACACTCCATGTCCCTAAGGCAGGCGTGGGGAGCCACATCCCTGGGAACCCTCGGTCCTAACTGCCATCCCTGGTTATTTATTCACTGCAGCCCTGGCCTTAGGCTTTGAAATGAGAAGTATCTATTCATTTCATCACTGATAAGAAATGAAAAGAAATCCATTCATCCTCATCTTTTACACACGATTTAGAAAACATTAAGCAATAAAAATACATGTAATTAAATGGGGTAGAGGCTGCAAAAAGGCATGAGGAAGCTTTCGGCATAACAGTAATGTTCTTCATTTTGATTGCGGTGTTGATTACCCAGCAATATACACTTGACGAAATTCATCAAATTGTATCTTTAAAATTAAGGGTGCGTTTTTATTATATCTCAATCAAGTTGTTTTCAAAATGAAATTTGCAGTAAATCATATTTGATGGCAGGCTTTCTAGATTTCTTATACCCAAGTTGCTTTTTAAATGGAGGCTTTCTTCCTCTATAGGTTAGTTAGCAGCCTAAATGTAACATTTTGATAAAAGTACAAACCAAATAACTCCCCAAAATATGTAATACTGCACTTGTCTTTCCAAAAGGACATATGCTTAAAATGCTGAAGGTAGAAACAGACGAAGGGGAATTTTACCAACAAGTTTTATAGGGCCATGGTATTTACCTTGCAAACGTGGGTCGGGGCTGCATTCTGGGTTTTGGAGAGGCTAAAATATTTCTAGCAGCAACTTGTAGACCTCAGGCCTCTCATTTTTGTGGGTCTTCTGGGGGCCTCCAGTGGTTACCACAGAGATCAATAAGCTGAGGAAAAGCCAGACATTCCCCAATCCACCGGGGAATTCCTGCTTGGACGAGACATCAGGAATTTTTTTTTCTTTCCTAACATCCAGATATGTGAACAGAAGAAAGGAAAATACAATTCAGAGTAACTGGAAGCAAAGTGGTAATATCGAATATATTTTGCACTTTCCAAATATTGTTAACTAGAAATAAACCCATGCAAAAACATCCAGGAAATAAAACACGCACTTCATATGGTTTCAAATAAACCATATGTCCAAGTGTTTTTTAATTGGCCTTTAGAAAAACAACAATTTCCTACAACCAGGCATAAAAGTGCTAAAGACATAAATAGGTTCAAAGTTTGATTCTGTCATTTACTTGCTACCTAATCTAGAACAAATTGTCAGCCCTAAGACTCGGCTTCCCCCATCTATTTAAGGGCATCAAGACACCGACCTGACAGATCTGTAGACTCTGGGCTCCATCCACTGGGCTGCAGGATCAGCGGGAACAGGGGCTGTGGTCTCTCTTGCTCACGGATATATCCCTACCACCTAGCAGAGGACAGACACGGAGAAGGCGTTCAGAATTTGCTGAATGGACACATGAATGAAGAACGATCGAATGACTTAGGCGCTTGGTTAAGGAAACGTCAGCTCCCGCCCCCTTATCCCTCCTATTTTGCTGTCTCTGGCCTGTTAGAAGGATTAACCCATGCTCTGGACCAAGGGCTTCGGGGCTGAAAGTGGGGGTGGCCCGCGTGCCCCCTCTGAGGTCTGGGCGCAGATGCCCGTGGGCCTGAGGCGCCCATCTCCGTTGGCCGACACACTCCATCGTGGGGCGCCGTGCGGTTGACCACCCCTGCCCCCTTGCGTGGATCTCGGTCACAAGATGGCCGGAACAGGAAAGAAGGGGGCATGCTTTCCCGTTCCCTCCATTCCCCATCCCGGGTAGGGCCCCCAGCCTCGCGCGGCGCCTCAGGTCGCAGGCGCATGGCACCGCCTGGCAGCAGAACCCGCAGACAAAGGCCGAGAGACGCGGGCTCCGAGGAGACCTCGGCCCCCGCGGCGCCCCTCCTTGGAAGGCAAACGGGTAGTGGGGGCTGCGGCGGCTACGCCAGCTGCATCTGCAGCGGCTCGGCTCGCAGCCGGGAGAGGCAAGAAGGCCCGCTTCGCGGGTATAGAGATGCCCGTCCGCCACCGGCTCCTGTGGGCGCCTAGCGCATCCCAGATGTCGGCTCACCCCAGCTGCGCGCTCCTGGGCAGGTTCCGGGCGCTGCAGGCAGGCGGGGGCGACACAGGGGACCCAGACCCCAGGGTCGCTGCTAATCCGGGCAGGGCCCGCGGAGGCCGAGGAGCAGCAGCGCGGAGAGAGGCTGACCGGCTCCTTCTTGCAGGGTGCAGAATGAAACGTGTCTCGTCTGGGCAAGTTGTGGCGAGGCGGGTCGCCTGGCGCAGCTCCAGGTCCTTCCAGACTCCAGATCGCGGGCGACTCGGGATCCCCCACCCCCCTCCCGCCCCCTCCCCTCCGCGATCTCCCTCTGGCTTCTTCCCTTGGTGTCCCGGCTCATCTGGCAGCTGGGCGGGACCGCGCGCTTCTAGACCGCAGCGCTAAAATGCGCTCCGCCAATCCGGCAGCAGGCGCAGACACGTGGTGCCCGGGCGCGCTCTGTTGCTGGCGCTGGATGCTCACCCTAGGAAGGCTTTTCAAAGAGAAACCAGATTCGCTCCTACCCTGTGGTTGGCCTGGCCTTCAGCAAACTAATTTCCCTCAGGAGCTTTATGTGAATTATCTTCCAAGAAGATATGCGTTTTAATCGCAGAAGTCTGCAGATGTAAATGACCTTGAAAAGGCTATCTAATGTAGCCCTGCATTGAATGACATGGAAAACCGAGATTAGGGACTTTTCGCCAAAGCACTCTAGGATTTAAAACCACGTAGGTTTCTGCATCTGTTTTCTTTATGCCCACTTTAGGATGAAAAGCACGGATCCCTGTTGGTAGGAAGTTAGGCATTGCGAATTACAGGAGATGTGAGTCCGGAGTAGTGTGCTTATTTCTTTAACCTAAAATTGGAACACGTAGGACAAAATTCAGCATTTTTAAATCACAAGTAACCCAGAACGTTTGTATATACCATCATGAGAAATTTGACTGCATCTTTTGCAAAACCTTTCTACTGTAGATATATCTCTATCTATCTATCTATCTATCTATCTATCTATCTATCATATATATCTGTATCTATCTCTCTCACTCTCTATCTATATATATAGTTTTAAATTAGAAAGGAGTAGCTGCAGAACTTTTATTGGACCAACATGCCATTGTAAAAGTGACTTTCCTGGTGCTTCTCCCTGACAGAAGCACAGGCTTCAAACATAGCAACAGCTAAATATATATTTATGTTGAATTCTTTCCTTCAGTTTTATTTGAAGCCATAAGGCCTGGGATGACCATGATAGTATTTTAAATTGATCTAATTTTAAAATGCTTTTAAAGAAAATTCAAGATCTCGATAAAAATCCTGTAAGTACTGTGGGGAAAGATTTCTGGATAGAAATTTCAGACAATATGAGGTAGTAAGGGCATTGCTCTGCAAAATCTGGTTTTTGCAAACTGTAGCCGTGTGTGTGTGTGTGTGTGTGTGTGTGTGTGTGTGTGTGTGTGTGTGATTGCTTAATTAATATTATTTGTTGATCTGCCATTTGAGTTATACATATTTCCCATCCCCACTATGAGTATATTACCCTACAGATGTGGAATTGGAGTAAGAAGAACCAATTGACTTTGGTGTAACTAAGCAGCCATGAAGCATTCTTGATCTGTGCAGAAACGCTATACCAATTGTCACATCAAACATGTTTTTTAATGATTAAAGTATCTGTCTCACGCATCAGATTATAAGAACCTCAAGTATTTGAGCATTTTGAGCATTTAGTAAGTCCTCAAATAAATATTCACTTTTTGAAGACAGAAATGATCCTAAAGAGCAATATAATAATATTGGTGAATATTAATCATTTTGTGCAGTAAGTAAACAAAAGCATTGCAGCTGAATTTATTTCAAGTATTTGTTTCTACTTCTCTCATTTGAAAATAGCTATTGATATTACCTGGCTAATGTTCTTTAGTATGAAGGGGATAAATAAATAAGGGCAGAAATTATATGTGTTGTCTGAGTCAAGACCTATTATTTTGCCTCATATTCCCATTTCAGAGATCTAACCTTGGTTTTATACATGTGGTTTAAAGAATAATAGGCCAGGTGCTGTGGTTTAAACCTGTGATCTCAGCACTTTGGGAAGCCAAGGTGGGTGGATCACCTCAGGTCAAGAGTTTGAGACCAACCTGGGCAACATGGTGAAACCCTGTCTCTACCAAAAATACAAAAATTAGCTGGGTATGGTGGTGCATACCCGTAATTCCAGCTACTTAGGAAGCTGAGGCTCAAGAATTGTTTGAACCTAGGAAGTGGAGGTTGCAGTGAGCCGAGATCTCGCCACTGCACTCCAGCCTGTGTGACAGAGCAAGACTCCATAAAATAATAATAAAATAAAATAAAAAAGAATAATAATAAAATGACCACTTGTTCATTTTACCCACCCCCAGGTTAAGAAAAAAATGTTCCCAACATTTTAGAAGCTGCTCTTCTCTCCACCTCTACAATCACATCCCTCTCCATCCTCTCAAAGATAACTACTCACCTAACTGTTGCGTGAATCCTTCCCTTGCTTTTCCTTATAGTTCACGCCCTATGTATCTATCTTTAAACATTCTACTATTAATACTTGCTTTTGAAAGCAAGGAGCAAACACAAGCCCAGCTGTGGAAGGCTGAGTTCTATAAGTATCTGGGTCAGTACCATCTTGAAACAGGCAAGAGAGTTCTGCCCCAGCCAGGCCCTTTGGAAAAGTCCAGGGAGCTAAAGCACCAGGCTTCCCCATAGTCTGTGCTATCCCTTGCCAAACCATGGTACTGGACGCCAAGCTGCATTGAAAATGAAAATCATCTTTTTCAGTTTCTTGGAACCACAGGCAGAACCCTCTCAATTTTGCAAGACGCTGCCGAAGGGGTTGCATAAGGGAAACCGAATTAACATTTTCTATTCCTGCCAGAGCAAAATCCACCTGACAAAACATAGACACTAGCCGCCCAGCTGAGAACCCAAGAGTAAACTAGCAAGGCTCAAACTTGCCCCTGTTGGCCCTTGTCATCTTTGATCCATTCAAAGTAGGGTGGAGTGACCTCCAACCACGAGTTTCAACATGTGGGCTCCGGGCAAGATGGAAAAGCAGACAGTCACCCTGAGTGACAGAAAAGATAAAGGGAGAGGAGAGAGAGAAAGAGAAAAGGATTGCCTGTGGTGAGGTGGGGAAGGTCAGGAGCTGAGAGAGGCCAGAGAAAGACCCACCCATGGTGGCAATACTGAATCAAAAGTTCAGGCGACCACCTGTCACTTGCAAAGAGAATTTTTTTTTTTTTTTTTTTTTTTTTTTTGAGACAGAGTCTTACTTGTCACCCAGGCTGGAGTGCAGTGCTGCAGTCTCAGCTCACTGCAAACTTTGCCTCCTGGCTTCAGTTAATTCTCCTGCCTCAGCCTCCCAAGTAGCTGGGATTACAGGTGTGTGCCACCACACCTGGCTAATTTTTGTATTTTTAGTAGAGACAAGGTTTCATCATGTTGCCCAGGCTGGTCTCAAACTCCTGACCTCAGGCGATCTGCCTACTTCAGCCTTCCAAAGTGGCTCCCTTACAGATATGAGCCACCATGCCTTGCCTGCAAAGGGATTTTTTTCCAGCAGTCCCATCAGCCTTCAAATTTTCCCCCCTGGGGAGAAAAATACCTCCCCACGTCCCAGTATCCTGTACTTGCCTAATCCTCTCACCTACAGCTGTCAGCAATGAGTTCAAGGCAGGTTAATCTCCAAAGAGAACAGTGGTTAACATCCCATAGTGCCAAATCCATTCCTAACCAACAGAGACTTAACCAAGGGTAACCTCTAACACCCTAAATCTTGGGAAGGACCCTAACCTTCCTAAGTTGAGCCTCTAATCCAGTTTTGGACAAGCGTCTTTGCCATTTAGTAAGAGGGGCCTTTTAGCCCCTATTTCTCAAGAGGGACTTTAGCTCTCCTAACTTAGTCTCTAACGCAATTCCATCCTTTGCCTAGGATAAAATGTACGCTACTACTTACTCAAAGTCGGTTGATTGGTGCTGCAGTCTACTTCCTTTGGGTCAGGGGTCTCTTCAGTATAGTTTTGTGGTTTGCCAGGAAAATGTTACCAGAAAGAGGTCCTGATCCAGACCCCAAGAGAGGGCTCTTGGGTCTCTCACAAGAAAGAATTCAGGGCGAGTCCATAAAATGAAAGCAAGTTTATTGGCCAGGTGTGGTGGCTCACACCTGTAATCCCAGCACTTTGGGATGCCAAAGCAGGTGGATAACTTGAGGTCAGGAGTTTGAGACCAGCCTGGACAACATGGTGAAACTCTATCTCTACTGAAAATACAAAAATTAGCCAAGTGTGGTGGTGCACACCTGTAATTCCAGCTACTTGGGAGCCTGAGGCAGGAGAATCACTTGAGCCCAGGAGGCAGAGGTTGCAGTGAGCTGAGATCATGCCACTGCACTCCAATCTGGGTGACAGGATGACTGTTTTAAAAAATAATAATAATAAAGGAAGAAGTTTATTAAGAATGTGAAGGGAGGCTGAGGTGGGCAGATCACCAGGTCAGGAGTTCAAGACTAGCCTGATCAACATGGAGAAACCCTGTCTCTACTAAAAATACAAAATTAGCTGGGTGTGGTGGTGCATTCCTGTAATCCCAGCTTCTTGGGAGGCTGAGGCAGGAGAACTGCTTGAACCCAGGAGGCGGAGGTTGCAGTAAGTTAACATCATGCCATTGCACTCCAGCCTGGGTAACAGAGTGAGACTCTGTCTCAAAAAAAAAAAAAAAAAAAGAAAAGAAAAGAAAGTGAAGGAGTGAAGGAATCAAAGAAAGGCTACTCCATAGACAGAACAGCCTTTACCATATTTTTTAAATTCAATTCACTGTTAATGGGCACTTTGGTTGATTCCATGCCCTTGCTATAGCGAATAGTGCTGTGATGAACATATGGGTATATGTGTCTATTTGATGGAATGAATTCTTTTCATTTGGATATACACCACGTAGTGGTATTGCTGCATTGAATGGTAGTTCTATTTTAAGTTCTTTGAGAAATCTCTAAACTGCTTTCCACAGTGGCTGAACTAGTTTGTATTTTCGCCAACAGTGTATAAGCATTACCTTTTCTCCGAAGCCTCACCAACATCTGTTGTTTTTGACTTTTTAATAACTGCCATTCTGACTGATGGAGAAGGACAGGAACAGATACTTCTCAAAGGAACACACACAAGAGGCCAACAAACATATGAAAAAAATGCTCAGCATCACAAATCATCAAAGAAATGCAAATCAAAACAACAATGAGATACCATCTCACACTAGTCACTGTGAGATTTAACAGAACTTGGTTTTAGGGCTGGTTTATAGGGAGATATGTATCCTGAAAGATTTAGGGGCT